AGGACCAGGGGACCAGCGGACCAGAGGACCAGGGGACCAGCACCGGCCACCCACACGACTGGGAATTGCAAGGGATTTCATCGCAAAACGAATATTTATTTTTTTATTCAGTAATTTTTTTTGATTCGGTAAATATTTTTTGATTCGATAAATATATTTTTTGATACCTATGCCTTCTAGAAGCTGGTCCCTTGAACCAGGAGTTTAGGCCGCTCTATGCCCGCCAACCAGCTGGCGGCATTCCGGGCATCCCAGAGAACGCAGTGATTGAGATCCTAGGTAACCTGTATGGTCAAAACGATGCCCCTGCAGCCTGGTTCCGAGAGTTCAGCACCCATGTGTGTTCACTAGGTTGGCATCAAAGTGTGTTAGATCCTTGCGTGTTCACTCTTCGTGACCCCAAAGAAAATACCTTGCGCGGTGTAATGGGGGTCCACGTAGATGACACAGCAGTTGGAGGATCCGGTACATTGTTTGAACAATCCATCAAAGCTCTCCGGCAGCGATTCCCGTATCGCAAATGACGAACCAAAACGGTAGAATTTTGTTGGGCATGGTATCAACAAAGGAATGACCACTCCATTCATATGCACCAAATCACCAAAGGGTGGGAAAGAAAATCGGTCAGCCCCCGGCAGGAAATGTGGTCAGCCCAGTGGCCCAGGCGCTGCATGCTTTCGGCCCATGCGCAGACCGCTTCCGGCGTCTGCAGTGCGTAGTGGAGCCGCATGCTCACAGCAGCTGCTGTGCTCAATTGCCGAAACCCAGCGTGGTATTCCACACCTTGTGGCAGCTGGGTTGCGACCGCCCGGTAGAGGCAATTGCCATCTCCTGCTATCCAGCGTGGCTGCAGCAAGGCGTGGACTGCCGTGGCATGCGCTGCCAACACAGCCTCTGCTTCTGCAAAGTCGGCGCTCCTGCTGAGGTCCACATGGGTCGCTGGTCGCACTGGGCCGTGTCTGGGGCCATCCTCTGCTACCTGGTTCTGTGGCCATTGAAAGGGTTCCTCGGCTGGTCGCGCTTCATCTTCTGCTGGTTGGACTGCTTCTTCCGGGAGCGCTGCCTTCTCTGCTGCAGCTGGCGCGTCCGGCCCCGGCATCGGAAAGCCCCAGCGAACCCTCGGCCGCAACCGGTTGCGAGCTTCCGCCGCAACTGCTGGACTGAATGCCTTGTACAGCTGCTGGAGCCGCCTTCTACCTTGTTCTTTGTCGCAGACCTCTACCAAGTGTTCGGGGTCACACCAAGAGCACCTCAGGTTTCCTGGCTTGGGCTGTGCCGGGCGTCCACCTTTGCCAAAGATGCAAGCCACCACGGGCTCGGCCGCAAGGCCCTTGCAAGCACGCGGCATGGCTGAACAAGTGGACTAACTCTTGGCTTTGAACTGCCAAAATGAAAATTACAGTCGTGCAGGCGAAAGAAGAGCACGTGTGATACTATAGCATCCCGCGCCTCAAAATATTTCTATTGGTCCTATGTTAATTATCATTTTTGATTACTTGCATGCAGGCTGGCATAAGTCAACAATCGTTGACGCCGTCTTTGCTACGTTGTGGAGCCAAAACCAAATAACAAGAATCGAAACCAGCCATCTGCGTCGACATGCTGCTGGCACGGCAACGTTTCTGCGTCACAGCCGCGTCAAAAAGATGCCGTTTCAAACAAACATGTACACGCTGCTGGCACTGCAATGCGTCTGCTTCCAAAAAAGTCTTGCATCAAACGAATTTAAAAGAAACTTGTTTTTCCAGGTGCTCTGTTCACCGATCAAAATTTCAGGGCGGGCCTGTACTCTGCACGCCCCAGTGGGTCAATTCAGCCATGTCGCAGGGCGGGCCTGTACTCTGCACGCCCTATGGCAGCACGGTGTCCTCGCCCGTGCCTCAGCTGCTGGTCTCGACGGAGCCTAGGCCACGGAAGTCGTCAGCGGCTGCTGCGGTGGATCCACTGCTTGGCGCTGGCTCTTTGCGGCGGCCAAGGTGGCCGCACGCAGGCCAGGCGCCCCCAACGGCTTGCGCAGCACGGCCGCGCGGGCCACCTTCTCGGCCACGTGGGCGGCCCACCACGTTCCGTTGCCGGCCATGATTGCAAAGATTGCGCGGAGAGGGCTTTGGCGCTTGCAGAGCCAGTCGTGCAACTTGTCTGTGGCCTCGCCCACCGTGGCCGCGTCTGCGCCGGCCGCGGCCGTCGCGACGCGCTTCACGCTCGAAAGCGTCCGGCCGCGGCTTCCTTCCCGCTGCCCTTCCCAAAGTTCAACACTTCCAGGTGAGTCTTGAGCTCGTCCGCCTCGTCCTTAGCCAATTTCAAGACCTCTGGCTTCAGGACCTTCACCGTGCGCTCGTCTTCCAACATCTTGATCCCTTCCAGCAGGGTCTCTGCAGTACAGCTCAAACCGACACCGATGCGAAACTTCCGCCTTGCGGCTTCCCTTGGACACCATCTTCCAGACGTCCTCTTGCCTGAGTGTGCAAACAAGCCTCTCCCAACAAGCGTTCCCGAGCCCGAAGATTGAAGACTTCAGGATGGCCAATCAAGCCATTCGTCGTGCACGACAGCACAAGCATTTGGGTGTGACATTTACAGCAATCCCAATAGGTAAGTTAACAGTAGTATGCCACAGCGATGCTGCTTTTGCAAATCGAGGGAATCATACCCAGGCTGGCTATGTTCTTGGCTTTACAGACCAAAGCCTTCAGTCCGGACAGGAGGCACCATGGTCTCCGATTGCTTGGAGGAGCTTCCGCCTACCAAGGGCGGTGAGCAGCACTCTGGCAGCTGAGAGCCGGGCCATGTCGGTTGCAACTGGTACTGTTGAATGGGTACTGCTGCTTTTGGCGAAATCTGTGATGGCCCTCTCGACATTTGATCCTGTCGAAATGCGCTCAAAAGGCGCCCGCCTATCGTGGTCACAGATTGTAAAAGTTTGTCTGATCGTTTGCATTCACCTTCATCACCAACGTCCATTGACGACCGACGAACAAGCATTGATGTTGTGATTATTCTTGAGAGCTGTCGCCACATGCTTGCACATGTAAGATGGGTACCGACTAATCGGATGTTAGCCGATGGATTGACTAAAAACACTGGAGACCCGATTGACCTGTTAAGAGCTTGTATGGAAAGATCTACCTACCAAATATCCCCGAAACGTGAAGAGACCGTGTTGGAGATGCAAGCCGCGGAGAAAGATCTCCGACGTCGTATGCAGCAAGCTCGTTTGAAAAACCCGGAAAGCCCCGGGGATTCGACCACTTGAAGGGGGCATTCAAGTGCCAAGACGGTAGACGCACGAATGATACATTGTGTGCAATGTTTTTCGATGTATGAGTTTGCACGTTTTTGGAGCAGGTCAAGTCATTTCTTGAATCAGTAGTGTTCTTTCAGCCCTTTTTGCCGAAGCCAACATGTCCTGACGACCAATAGGTTGTTCGATTGACAGTGAACTCCCGGTCACTCATGGCCGGTTCCAGTCAGAGTTTGTCCAAGGCCGCTAGCTAGCGAGCTGCTGCAGCTGGTGCGATCTGAGGGATTGGTGGGATCTCTCTTAGCGGAGCTGGAGAGCGAGTTTTGTGAGTTTGAGATGATCGATGAGAAGGGTGATTCCAGTGGGGGGGGAATGCCCGATGCCGCCAAGAGGCGATTGGTCGATCATGAAGAAGAAGGGAAAGCTCCGGCTCGACAAATGCCGGCGCTGACGCAGGCCCTGGCCAATTATGGACCAGGCCGTTCCAAGCATGGAGCCTTGACCAAAGCCTATCCGCCCGGAGTCGAGGATCTGGAGCAGTGGGGAAAGACCATCATCGAGACTGGCAAATATGGAAAGCAGGATTTGAGCTATGCTGAGCTCATCCAGTCCCGGAGACCCCCAAGGTGAAGTACGTTCAATGGCTCGTCGCACAAGGCAGTCGCTCAGATCTATCACCGTTGATGCAGGACCTGATTAGCTACCTGGTGATGTATCAAAAACCGGGATCCGAAGCTGGACCAATGATCCCAGGATCTGCTGTGACGCGCAAGTAATATAAGGCCTAGACGAGAACTGACGAGATGGCTGTCGGTCGAACAGAGGCAGAGTTCATGAGCATAGATGATGAAGTTTATAAGCCAGAAGGCTGAAATGGCCCTTCATGAACTGTTTGTTTAAGAGACTTATAGGAGTCTTGATGCTGCACATGGCATGCGTGTCGTCGCCCGAGGGATTTTCGTGGCACAAGGAAAAGCCCGCTGCGCGCCCTCAGGGGAGGGAGAGCTTATATATATATATATATACCGTCTATCTTTGTTTCCTGACCATGGATCTTTGCGGTGTGAGACCTGTCAGACTGGTTGACGGAATGCTCGAGGCCGGATGCGACGGTGGTGCATCTGCAACGTTCCGAGTATGAGATGGGCACCTCCCCCTCGTTGCCCAACGTGTCGGAAGACACTTCTGGAGCTTCTGGGCCCCTTCAAGGGCTGAACAAAAGAGATGCGCTTGGTTGGCCCCTTGAGGGGCCTTGGCACCTATGGGAGCATGTGCAGGGGACGAAAGGAAGCCATGGAAGATCATGTCCTGTGTACAAGGCAGCGTTTGTTGGGCATGAACTTCAGCCTTAAAGACCAGCGTGATCTAGGCCTCCTCCCGCACTTTGTCCGCGACGCCTTGGAGATTTGGCTGCCAGCTTTCTTCCGGTAAGGACTCGATGCCTGCACACAGGAGCCGCTGAAGAGCCGCTGGGGACAGGCTTTGGCCCTTTGTGGTGGAGGGCGGCTTCTGACAGAGATGCACAATGACGCAGTTTGAGCTGGAGGCATGCCAGGCTCATAGTGCTGTAGTGGTTGGCAGTGCCAATGACTCTGAAAGGGCGCGCAAAGATGCAGCAATTCCTCTGCCAAGCCCTGTATGGAAGCACGGTGTCCTGCTGAGTGCGCGACGTGTGAAACCGTCCTTTTATCCGTCGCTTGCTGCAGTGAGGAGGCAATCTTTCATTGAGCTTTTGGCCTCACGGCGCTCTCCAGACGCTATGGACCTAAGGTCCGGACATGCGGGAAATGAAAAAATATCGTCTATCTCAGCACTTCCATCCCCTCCATCCAACGGTCCGGCGGCCCGGCGGCCCGGCGGCGCACACACCCGTCCGCCCGTCCGTGGATCGCTTGTGAGTCCCCGACCGGCACGGCAGACCTCGGCGCACGGACGGACGGAGCGCGGCCACGGCGCTGCGAGGCCGGAGTGGCTTGGCCCGAAACGTCCTGGTTCTGTTGGGGTGCTTGGGAAAAGAGCTCCCTGTCGTGCCTTCTTTTCACAGAATCACCACAAGTGAAGCATCTATAAACTGCAGGGAAATGGGTCACACGGAGTTGATGGAACACCTTCCAAAATCCTGCTATTTCTGTCCGTGGTTCTTATAGAATTAGAATTCTAGTCCGCACACCCTGAGTGTCCTGCGCTGTGCTCAGGGTCACGGCACTTTCCGCTCTGGCTGGGGCACCTGGTTGACAGGCTGTTGTTGCGCCGGAGTTCTTGTTTGACCCAAAAAATGCATCAGAACATCTGAAGAAAGAAACGTTTCTGGTTCCGGTTCATGGCGGGCCAACATGAGAGTGGCCCCTGCGTTTTCAGATGTTCACACATCAAATGTTCAGCAACCATGAGAGTATCATGAGAATCTAGGCATGGACCCCATGAAACTCACTGTCCAGTCGCGTAGCCATGCGACTCGGTTCTTCCTCGCACCTTTGCTGCAGGGAACCCTCTGAAATGCCCTTGGAAAAGGTGAGTTGGTAGAACCGTTCATGGTCTCCTCAGATCAATGTCCTCATAGGGGTGGAAGATAAACAAGACAAGGCCGTGCCTGCCACATCAAGCATTGCAGAGTCCTGGCAGGCTCCAAAACAACGGATCAAGCAAGCCAGCCTAGGAGTACAAAGAAACTTTTCTGCGAATTTGCCAATATCAATTGGTCTCACCAAGGATATAGATTTGAGTTCTGCCAGGTCCCTCCAGCTGGCCCCTGGTCAGTCCAATTGCCAACTTGTGGTTCCAAAAGTTCATCCTTGTTCTATCTGTTCACTTTCAAGTCTGTTTCGCCATGAAAATGTGATGCGCCCAGCATGGGGGACGGATCCCATGTTGGACATGTTGTCAGACCAAAACAACACACTGGATCCGCACGCTCTCCTGCTCAGCGCCAAGTACCTGAAGAAGAAGGGCCCGGGCTGTGCTTAGGCCGGCCGCTTGCGGGCGGCGGGCGCGGTCGCTCCAGGGAAGAAGGACGTCGCATGTGCTCCACTTGTTGCTCGACGTGAACCCGAAAACGCGCGTTTCGAGGGCAAGTTCTGCAAGTGAAAACGCAGAACTGCAGAACCAATGGAACCTCTATATAAATCAGAGGCTAATCCAGAATCCAGAATCCAACCCTCTACATTCATCTGTATGTCTCATCGTTATTGGTTCGACCAACAGCTGGATCACCTGATCACCTGCACCCGTAAGATCACGCGCACTCCGATCACATGCTGATCATCTGCAGTCTGATCATCTGGGCCTCCCCACTGGGGGGGTGGATTCCTCCACCACCCGACCTGGGGCGGCTCGGTCACATGGCCGGTTACGTGGTGCTTCGCCGGAGTTCGGACCCCAAAATCAGCGTACAGACATGCCAACAGAGGTCAAGTGACCTTATAGGACCCTACAGCGGTACCTATAGGATAGTCTAGTTCGGGTTCTGACCCACCTCTGCTGGTGGACACAGGAGACCCTGCAAACGGTGTCTGTGCTTCTAACAGCATCTAACAGCTATTTAAAACCGCTGCAGGCTTTGTGATGTTTTTGTCGCGACGGCTTCCTGCTTCGTTTGTTGGCTCATATTGCGAGGCGTCGCCGGGCGCGGCGGCGACGACCGTTGCGACGACCGTTGGGCGACAGGCGAAAAGGCGGCAAACACACCAAAAACATCTCCGTTGTAATCAGTGCCCTATTACTGTACGAGTTCCACACCAAATCTTATGATTTACTGGAGATCTGAAGAAAAGGTGCGAAAAGGTGCTAAATCAGAGAATGTATAAAATTTGACCACCCCTTCAGTTCCGTGGTCCTTGGCATGTAAACAACCCCCCCCTCTTGGTCCATGTGCAGCGACCGAGCTCTCACCGAGTCCGGTTCTTCCCACTGAAACATCGGCAGCTCTTCCTCACGTTGAGGATCGGACGGAACGCCAGCTCTTCTTGTTCAGCAGCGACCTGTTGGGCATGGGTCGATCGCCATGGGTGGACTGGGCTTCGGCTGAAGGCCGGATAGATCGTGAACTGATGGGTGCGAGGAGTTGGTTCAGGAATGGCCCCCTCATCCAAAAGCCCTATATAGAGATCCAGGATCCAACCACCATTCCTTACGAGCCCGCACCAGTCGGATCAGTGAACCTTCGAGTGGCACTCCGCACTCCGCTTCAGTGGCGCGCACCGCACCGTCGCGCGGCCGTTGAAGTCGCACTCGACTCCCCGGGTCGCCGAGGTTCAAAGCCCTGTAAAAGGGCTGCAGTGCTTGTCACAGGTGTTCACCCGGCGGGAGGTTCACCCAGTTCGAGACTTCGTGGGTCAAGGGAAAAAGAAAGAAGACTAGTCGTCGAAAAACCCTGGGGTTGCAAGACAAACCCCACGAATCCATGTGTGCTTATAATATAGGTCGAATCCGGATTCCAGCCACCTTTTCTCTGAAGCCAAAGCAGATCGGTCTCATGCAGAACTGCAATCTGATCCTCCGTGCCAAGGTGGGGGCCCGAGCATTTGCCAAGCATTTGACAAAGGACCCTCCTTAGCGCGGCTCCTTCGTGCCATCCAAAGCGCCGAGCGCTCGGCCGCCGCGCGGACGGCGCGCTCGCTCGGCCCGAGCCCCGGGAACGTCGTCCGGACCTCTTCCAGGCGCTGCTGCAAGTCCTGCGTCATGCAAGAAGGCGAGGGACCCGTGCGAAAGACAACCGAGGTCCGTGCAGCCAGGGGAGAGAATCAAAACTTGATGACTGTCAGACTCGACATGGATTCTGGACCTTTGGAAGTGATTTTTCACTCTGACACCACCAAGAAAACGGGATGAAATCATAAATCTCCACCCAAAAAAAAACAATATCATAGCGAAAGCGGGGGTCCAAGCTCACGTGCAATATCCCAGCACAAATGCCATTGCCACGGAACAACCCAGGTGATGGACACTCCGCTCGCCAATAAACCCTTCTACCATGCTGTTCTCACGTCCCAGGCCTTCTAGTGGACTTAGAACAATCAATCAATCAATCAATCAATCAGGTCAGGTTGGACCAGGCTGAGGCCCTGTCTTGGTATGTCTTGGGGTCATCTGGTGCAGTCGACCTCACCCGCCGGAACCTGTGGCCACCACCGACACGGTCGTGTCCTCCGCTCGCTGGGTTTGCTCCTGGAGGGCCTTCTGGAGCTCATCCACCTGGTGTCACCGTGCTTTCAGCTGCCAATGGGCCCCCCTTAAGGGGGTTGGTCTCCCCCCGCGGTTCCGAAGCCCGCAGCTTCGTTGTTTCCGTTTCACCCCGGGTTCCCGGGATTGGAGGGGGTCTCCTCTGGTGGTCTGTGTGGCTCACTTCGGGAAGATCGGAAGAACCACCTCTTCACTCCCGCTTTGTGACACCGTTTACCTGTGCACCCGAGCTGGTCTCTTTCCACCTGGTCCATGCTCCACAGCTGTTCCAACGGCACACCCGCCGTGTAGCGCCTCACTCCTCCTGGTCCCAGCACTTGAGGATTGCTTTTCGGCCAATTCCAAGGCTTGCCGCACGCGCTCCTCATGACTGCTCAACACCTGCACTGGCATTGGCAAGAAAACCATAATTCACAACTCAGAACTGATCATATAGAGTAAGGGGCACAATGCGGATGGGGTACCACATAAGAAAATTAGGAGAAAATTTGCCTCTGCACGTCTAAGAAAGCCCCATCGTGTTGGTCTCCTGGCCCAAGATCTCATCAAGGCTTGGCTCAATATATATATATATATGTATATGTATATATATATATGTATATGTATCTATATATATATATATATAGCAAGGGTTCAATGGGACACCTCTGGGCATAGATAAGTTCTCCATGATATCACTCGATGACGCTTCCACCAGAACATCCCAAAAAGACAGTGTCCTAGACCTAGAATGTGAAACAGTTTAGAATGCATGCAGGGTCTGCTTGAGTAGTATAACAATCTTAACAGTGAATGCTAATAAGTCTATAAGGGTGTCAATAGTCTTTAGGAGCCATATAAATAATATAGTTTCTTCGTGATAAAATTGACCCTATATTTTCTACATGTGAAGCCTCACACAGAAGCTTCGGGTCGTATGCTCAAGATTGTTCAAGTCACTTCCGCATAGAGCCCAAGTTTGAAGAGATCCCGATGTTCATCTATGCCCAAATCGATGCCACTGTTCCTTGGGGCCCACCAGTGCTGCTTCTGTGAGCGCCTGCTGAAGATGTGCCGAAGGCTCAATCCATGCCTGCGGGCAAAATCCCTCAAGTAGCACGACCTGGGTAATGACCAAAAGTATCTTTTGATAGCTTTTGATCAAAGCCCTCGAGGCCCTGAAGACCAGCGATCCTTGCCTGTGAAGCTCCACAATCGTAGGGATCGGGTTCAGTGTGTACATGAGTAGAGATGGGTGAAGAGCTAGAGCTACAGAAATCTAGATGGGGCACCCACCAAACACGAAACCACCACTTGCAAAGGAATCACGATTATGAAAGCGACGAAGAGGAAAAGCGTGAGCTCACACTGCCCACACCCTGGTTTGAACATTCTTATCCACACCCGTCCACCCCGCATGGAAATTGGAGACAAACCCAAGCACCAAGGCAAGGCGCAACAGTGCTAGTGACGTGCCGCAACCAATATGGGCCTTCCCCAAGCAATATGGATCTGGAACCAAGAAAAAGATACAAACCATCCTTGAAAGACGCATGGGAACCTCCTTGTTTGACGCATGCAGAGTTGGGCATCCTTCGGCTATCTTGAGATCTTGAGGTTCTGTGGAACCATGTGGAACCAATAAGGACGCTACTAGTAGCTCCTGGCCTTACTGCTAGGAGCAAGAAGCTACTAGTAACAAAGGGCATCACTACTAGGAGCCAGGACGCTACGAACGTAGCAAGAACCTATTGAATTGCAGGCCATTACTACTTAGTAACAAGGCCGTCCCTTGCACGTGCGCTCTGCAAGCCTCAGGAACCGCGAATCGAGGTCTCGTTCGGTGCGGGCACCATGCCCCCCACCGCGCGCGGAAGCGGCGCGGCGAAGGCGGGGAACCACGAAGGCACGTTTCGGTTGAGGCATGAAGAAAGCCTGTAGACACCATGTCTGAAGTGAAGATCTTTGTCTGAAGTGAAGATCTTAGGTCTCGCTTTCTCTTTCTCTTTCTGAATTTCTCTCTCTCTCTCTCTCTCTCTTACAAAATATGGCCCCTGCCACGCGAGCATATCTCTGATGGCCGCCAAGGCAACAGCATCCTGGCTTTCAAAGTGCTGGACACAAGCACAGTATGTACTGGTGGCGGAAACTCTTTGGTTTCTCCTCTCACACATGCGAATCTCTTGAGCAGTACAGCACCACAAGCAGTAGGGACTTGAAGAATGTTCGGGAAACAGTTGGGTGCGACGGCCCCAAACAACACCTGGAAGCTTTAGGAGACGTACGTAGACAAGTCAAAGCCAAGAGTCTTTGAGCCGGGGAGAATAGAACGTCATTTGGTTCGATGTAGCCTGATGGGAATGAAGAGTCAGCTAGCAAGACCACTCATCAGGAGTTTAAAGCAATGAGTGACGTGGAAACTACTTATTTGACAGTACATGACAGTTACGGAATTCATTTTGGACTTTAGATGGGCCTCTGTAGGAAACCCTTGCCTGTCGGTGATGACAACTTCCCATGGACTGGCATCACATTGCTGGATTGGTCGGCTTCGTATCGCTTGTGCATTGCGGGCGTCCAACCTAAGAAGTCAATGCCCGTTTTGTCAAAGATACGTTTCTGGTGCAATATTGAACAAGCAGGTGTGTGTTGCATCCTACGTGCCTCCAGGCTGGTGGTGCATCCTACGTGAAATACCAATGTAGCTTGCTATGACAGCCCACTGCAACCAACATGTTCATGGTCAATAAGGCACTCTCTGGGAGAAGCGATCCCAAACTTTGGCCCACTGTTGGTGGGTTGGAAGCAGCAGCCAACTGTCACGGTCGTGCTGACATGGTGGTGAATAACATGCGGAACTCGGCACCGACATGGTTTTGTGATGTGATCGCCACTCACTTATGAAGTGGCTCAGCCATCAGAACCCTGCGGATATTTTGCACATTACAACAAGCAAACATCACCAAAAGTCCAACTATACACTCCCTGGAACTAACATGGAAGTGGACAATGGCCCCGAAAGGAAGACCATTTTCCACCACAAACAGGTGGTTTTCCACTTCCATGTTAGTTCCAGGGAGGGTAGATGGTTTTTGATGAACCCTTGCGACATGCTCGGCGAGAGGTCTGGCTTCGGCGCTCAGATGTGTCGGGATTGGTCGGTCCACACCACCATGACAGTATATGACAGGGACAAAAACTGGGGGGCACTTGGCAGGAGCTTCTCTTGGAGACTTAGGAAGAGCCTCTAATGTAGACGCTTGATCAATAAAGCCCCCAGCCTGGAAGAGGTCGGGTCGGGGGGCTTGGACTGCATCCAGAGTCTACATGAGGCTTCGCCCAAAAGCAGCCGAAACCGCTCCACCTCCCGCTGTCCTGCTGCACGGATTCGGGACCAAAGTCGCGCAGGGAATCGAAGCCGGCCTGACCGTTCGGCCGGAATGGGCCACGCGCCACGCGGCGCCACGTGGCGTCCACGGCTATGTGAAGGGCGGACGGGGAACCAACACAAAAGGCGCAGTGTTCTTAGAAAAACACCGAATTGGGACGACTAAGAATACTTTGGACCTCGCGCGAATATAGAGCGCCCCGACAACAGCACACAGAGATGAGTTTGCGTCATGAGCCCTGCTCTTGCACACTGGATGCTTTGAAAAACAGCGGAATTGGGCTACCGGAATGGACGTTGAATCCGAATCGTTGCAAAGGCAAGTTGCGACCAATACCTAAAGATCGGCGCCCGTCACTTCCTTGAGTCTAAGAACCGGTGCTTAACATAGGGAGGAGGGCTTAAGGGACATAAGTCGGAGCATAAGGGACACAAACTTGTAAAAAAAAAAAAGGCACGAGCCCTAGTCCTAGGCATCCTCAGAGCCCTAGCCTTCACAAACAAACGAAGGTGGAAGTTCGGCCCTGAGGATGTCGAGGAAGCGACTCGTCGACTCCGTGTCGCCGTCCTTCCCCACGTTGAGACCGAGTCACCCTGTGACGAATAAAACAAGCCAAACAACCAAGCCCCAAGACCAACCAACTGCACAATAAAACATCAATGTATATCAAGGTAAAGCCTTTTTGAGGGTCCCAAAAGGCTGTCAGGCTGAATTAGAATAAATAGATCCTCTTAGGATTCCAAAGTATGTCACAAACTTGTTCTTAAGCAATGCCATATAGCAACTCAAACACTACTACCCTCTCCAAAAACAGGGGGAGAACCGTGCGATGAAATTGGATCATGGGGATAGGTGGATGACACCCATGATAGTTTTGGATCTGCATGTCTATAGAGGCCAGAAACGATTTCCACTACGGATTCACTGTTCTGTCTATGTTTGATCATGTACTTGATTTTGTCACCCATTTCTACAAAGGGGGTGCATGCCTGTTCATGGCTCAAATAATGGGGTCGGGGAAAGCAATGGACCAAAAATGGAGCGGCTCTGCCTGGGTCCGGTCCTGTACAAGGCCTTCACCTAGACTCAGAAGAATCTTTGGGCACCTTTAAGTACTCCGCTCCTGGGACAGGGACACCTTCCTCCAAGATGAGCAACACGAAGCAGCTTCAAGTGGGTTGACTGTTCAAACCTGTATTTGGTTTGATGCCTTGGAGAATATGGCCAGAACTTCCAAGAAAGGAAGATTATCTTTTCTTAAGAATGCAATAATCGCAAGAAACCAAGTCATCCATTAGGAGAACATCTAAGCACTGTTTAACCACCAAAAAAAGAAACAGGAGCCTGCACCCAGACCAGGAGTCGCTCCAAGGTCCTTGGATGGTCCGCCAAATTTGAAGCTGCGAAGGATATCTTGGCACATCAAACGGATGTTTAATTGGTTTCGGATGATTCCCATCATTACAAAATAATAACGGTAACGGTAATGTGAAATGAGAACCACTGCCACATGAGAACAGGGGGGCTCTCATAGGAAAGTCCACCTCGGTCGGCCCGGCCCGTGAACATCCCACAAACATGACCTCGGATCCCCCCAACTACTGTTGAGGGACCCACCACTGCAATGCAGACCTCTGCCGGTCGGCGACCCTGGCCGGTGTCACCATTCCAGACCCTCAAGTAGGGTATGACCTTGGCCTACCAATGGATGTCTTCAGACCAGTGGACACCCCCAACCGTTGTGTCTCAGCCGTCCTCCAGCCGTCCCGTCCAGAAGCCTTTTTTCATGGCCTTGTTCGGCCTGGGTGATGCCTTGTTCATGAAAAGAAGCGCCGCCCGTCCAGTCGTGCCGATCCGTCTGATCGTTGGTCCAGTCGTTGTCCGGTCAGTCGTTGGTCCAGTCGCATCGTCCAGTCATCTGAGGCATCGTCGAGTCCACGGCCTTTTGCAGGAGCTTGTTCTGCTCCATGTGCTTGTTCTTTTCTTCCTTGCGAACCAGCCGGACGCATGGATTGATCCAAAAAGAGTCCGGTTTCACTCACTATACTGAAACCATCATGGCTTCACTGACTCGTCCACCCGAGACATCGGTGGGTGAGACACCACCGCTCTGTTGGACGAGGAAAACATAGAACAAACCGAACCTGACAGAATCCAAGTGGCTCGTACATCACGTGTCTACCACATCCGATGGCCCCGACGTCAAGCGACATCAAGCGTAAGTCGTAAGTGTCTCTCCTGTCTCGACTGTGCCGGTCCTGGAGCAGCACCATGTGCTTCTCAAGATGCTCATGATTCTGTGCCACAGTCTGGGCCTAGCATTTCACATGGTCTGTGAGACCAGTCTGGTCCATTGACCAAACCCGGTTTCTGGCTCTCCCGAAATGGGCTTTGCGCGTGGCGGACGTCGCTTCCGTTAGCAAAAAACTCACCCAAACGCCACAGGCAGCGTTCGGTGGAGACAGGCATGGCTGTTACTGCCCTGTAAGTCTTTCGATGTCAATGGTCCCAATTCTATATCACTGAAATAGTTATCGTAATGATGTATATGTGTACATGCATTAATATGTATGCATATGGAAAAAAATGTGTTTGGTATCACCTATCACTCATACAAATGAACTTTGTTTCAGATGATGAACTGCAGCGACTTCGCTCTCGCGTCCTCTACGGCTTCATCCACACCTTCCGTCCGCACAACACACACCCCTCGGTCGCAGCGGTCGAAGCGGTTCCTCGCCTTGATCTTCTCACTTTCCGCGTCCTGCGCGCGCGTTCACCGCCGTTCGTGTGGGGTCGGAAGACGGCGGGTTGGAGCCGATGCCGAGCCGGGTGAAGGGCATAGGTGGCCGTGGGATGGGTCCAGAAGTGACCCAAAGTCCCAAGCTGTGGGGTTTTGTGGGGGGCCAACTTCCTTTACGTTCACCAACTGTGACCTCAGTCAAACAACCAGATCCTTTCACCAGTTCCGGTACACGGTGGTGCTGGATGAATGTCCTCAACATCGAACTCAACGAACTCCACGGGAGTTCGCTGCCCCCCAAACGTCTGAAGGGTCCCAACAAACGACCTCCGCGTGGCGCGTGGTAGCGGGCCCCGGCGCTGGCCCCACCTTTTGAAAGTCCAAGAACGGGACCAAGGCTGGAAAGGAGGCGGCCAAGGGTGAGGGCCTTGGGGCGGTTGGGGGCCATGCGGTCACCCGTGTTCCTGGTTTCTTGAAGTTTACTCTCGCTGGAACTAACATGGAAGTGGAAAAGCACCTGTTTGTACTGGAAAATGGTCTTCCAGGGGGCCATTCTCCACTTCCATGTTAGTTCCAGGGAGTGTAGAGTGAATTGAACATCTTAAATCGGGCATGCTTGGAACTCCTGAAATCGTGGTTCGAAGCACACAGCATAGACCGCCACGGTGTTGAGCCGCAGATCCCAAAACTCGCCGATGGGTTGGGAATGCTTGTGAACTGATTGTGATTCTAAAAGCTCTGTCTCAAAATCATCCATTTTGTCTTGTTTGATGAGACCCGAAGCTTCGAGGTTAACACCAGTAACTACAGTAGATGTTTGCAAAAAACATTTGCAAACTTGCCCTTCACTCTGTGAAAGCCAAATAGAAACTGTCAGGTCATCTAAAATGCAGTTGAGTTTTTCTCAAAACATCCCAGAGATTCAGCAGAAGACTGCGAATCATATAAATGAACATACGAAAATATGAAAACCGATCTATGTGAACTCTAGATTCTAGATCCCTTTTTCTAGCCGAGTGTTGCCTTCTGCATGTAGCAACTCTCCTTGGAAAGGCCTGCACACTTCTTATCCAAACTACAGTCCCTTCTTTCCTTCCAGGAGACTCTCATCTTCAAAAGCATCCAACCAAAAAGCGCACCAAAAAGATCGAAAAAAACGGCTGTCCAAACGACCCAAACACCGCCCGCCTGGGCGGTTCGACCGCGCCATCCGACTCCGAATCCTCCTCCTCACACGAAACAGCGAGCGAAAGAAGGTCTGATCAAGAGCATGGAAGAGTCACCTCTTCAGCATGTTGAGGAACAGCACCTCTATAGCACTATAGCTCTATAGCACTTTAGAGATCTTGAACTAGATGATCGATCTTTTTTCGAGCGGGCTTGTGAGTGAAACCGCGTGGTGATCTCGTCCAGAGACGATTGGCCGAGTCAGCCCCCGAGTTGGGCCGCCGGGCGGTCGAAACAGGAGACGAGGTCCAGGTGATCAGTGCGAAGGCAGAAAGGGATCTACTGAGTATCTACTGGACGAAGTAAGGGAAAGACAGAAAAGGACGAAGTCAGTGATCTACTGAGTATCTACTGCTTAGATCAAAGGACGGACCGGGGCGTTTGGACCTGGGGTCCTTGATCTTTTTCGGAAGCGTCGCTTCGGGAGAGGAAGCGGCGAACCGCCGGGCACATGGACGTTGCAACGCTGCGGTCCTTCCTCCCCACATGGGAGTCTCTCGAAGGGAGACCCCAAACACCTTATGTGTATGTACTGGGACTATGAGGTGACCTATTGGATATCTGTGGTTGTTCCTCAATGAATGCGGCGCAACATGACAGCACGTTACGATGCACTCACCATGGTCTTCATCTTCATCCACGAGCATGTTTTTGCGAACCCTGCCAGGTTCGAAGGCCAAAATCCGACCAAATCCCATGGAGAACCTCGGTGAGTGGTGAGTCATGAGTCGTTCAGCGCCAGCTGAACCGCCGGTGTCACCGGTTGGTTGAACACCTCTTCACCGAAGCAGCCCAGGCTCCCTCCGGAACCGGGACCGGTCCTCGAAGCTCTTGCGCCGAGGTCCAGAGGAGATCTTCTGGCGTCGGCGAGCCGCCCGTGGCGGTCAGTGACGGTCCACCCCAGGGGCAACGGTGACCGAAGAGCACACTTGGTAAAGCCACACGTGTCGCTGGCTTCGAAAGAAAGGAGGAAGGAAGAAAAGAAGGAAAGAAGAAAAGAAGGAAAGAAGGAAAGAAGGAAAGAAAGGAGGAAGGAAGAAAAGAAGGAAGAAAAGAAGGAAAGAAAGAAAGAAAGAAGGCGTCAAGGGGACGAACAGAATCCCAAAAGATTTCTACTCAAACGCAGTATATCTGGGACCAACTGGCTGTGGCAGCTCTCTTCCTGAAGTTCTGACACTTATACACAACGTGGCAACTCGTGATCAATCTGAACGTCTTCCCCCGACGAAGTTCTGTGGAGGGCTCCCTCCGTCCGCGGAGCCACCCACGACCCGGGATCCCAGTGAGGTCGTCAGGCACACCTTCACCATGACCGGTGCTGCAGTCTCCTCTTCAACCTGCAAATGAACATATCCCACACCGGGCGTCGCTGACTCCAAACGGCTGGTTTCCACAGTCTGACCTGGGAAATCTTAGACTAAGTCCTTGAATAACAAAACTTTGGACGTTGTTAGTACAGAGTCTGGCTCTTACATCCACAAGATATCACAAGATACATATGTCCATGTGCTTTTAAAGGCAAAGGAGGTGCCCACGGTCGGTCTTTTGGGAGGCGTTGCCGTGTGGGCAACACGTGTTGGTCGTCCAAAGGCAGTCCCTACTCATCTTTGGAAACTCATCTCATCAAGAAATCAAGCAAAACCCTGGTAATTAGTACAGAAAGAACGAAAAGCCTGCAGTGGATCTATGAGGTAAAACGTTTAATTCAAAAAGAAAGAACGATGACCCTTCTCTAGACATCCGGCGGACTGTCTCAGGCGGAAAACGGCATGGCATTTGGCGGCGGCATGTTCCGCTCCTCACTGGAACTCTCCAACAACTGCTCAGGGGTCATACTCCTGGCCATCAGAAGCTGGCAGGTCTGCGACTGGCAGGTCCACCCCGAAGTATGCTGGGCACACCCCGTCTACACACCCAAAAAAATCCAAAAAGGGCGAAAAAGGATCAACACATTTCACTCAGACGCAGCTAGACGCAGAAAACCTGGCCCACCCCCGCGGAAACCGAGGAGTTCGCCCCCTTCTGAGCATCGTTGTTGCTGCTGCCGCCGTGGCTTCGTTGTGGAGTCGTTTGTTGTTCTTTCGTTGCTGTTCGGGTGTTTCTGGTTCATGGTCTTCGTGTAATGGTATGACCACGAGGGTGCCATTGTCACAGGACGAGTTGTCTGTGAATAATTATCCTGAACAAACAAATGTCCTGAAATGTCCTGTTGTGTTTTTGTTTTCTCTCAAGTGAGACTCGTGACTAGTTAGTTGTATATACATTTCATAGCACAGCAATTTTGAAGATGCCCTATATCCAACGCACGCATTTCTCCTTTTTGAGAGCTCGATCGCTTATGTCGCTCCTTATGAAAGCGCCAGCCGAAAGCAAACGTTCTTGATCGAGTCGGCTCATCTTGAAGTCGACAACATCACATCGGCTTGAGGTCTCGGTCTCTGGGAAAGTAATCAATCGCCTCCATCAGATCCCCCACAAATTTCAGAAAGAACTTATCCTTCTCCAACAGCTTCTCCAGCGTCTGTCTGCGATCGTGTGCCTCATCCAGTGTAATCAGCGCATCCTGAAATGCCTCGTTCTGCAGCGCCGAGCGCACCCCCACATGCCCCCGCAGCGCGCAAAGGCGGACCTCGCTGATCAGATCCTCTTCCTCCGGCTCTTCCTTCCGGGGTCGCTTGGCGGACTCCCGTTCCGGGCGCGCGGGGCACTGGCCTGCCGCGTGGCGACGATAGCAGGGCAGAGAACAGTATCTCTCGCGGCAGCAAGGGAAGCGATATTTCACCTCTACGCCGCCACACACGAAGCACTTCATGGCGGACGGAGCCCTAACTTGGGCCACTGCTGGCAGCAGGAGTGGAGGTTTCTCGGGTCCTGAACATCCTGAGCGCCCAAACAAAACGAAAAAGACTGGTCGACTGGACAGAAACAAGCCAGGCACCACCGAGAGACCACCACACTGTGCCTGGGTGCCGAGCTGATTTGGGACGAGGCACGGGAAGATTGCACTATCTGAGATCACTGATGGGTCAGATCAATACTCAGCATGTCTTTTTGGGGGATGGGGAGAACGGGGCCGCCATTGGGTCCCTGGTGTCACTGCGTGACTTTCCACCATCTCCGTTCAAGCCTCAAGCTTTAACATCTGGACTGCTGGAGGAGGATTTCAATCTGTTGAAGTTAGCCGATGCTTTTCAAAGATGGCCCCAGGCCAATCCATTTCGCCTCAATCCCCACTTCCCTGCATAGTCCTATCGTCTCTATCGTCGGCGAGACTTGGATCTTCCCATCCGAGATCGGAGAGGAGGAATGCTTCAAACTCGCAAAAATCCCGTTTGCCTGAAGAATGTTCACTCACATCTCATCGCAATACCCCACAAACTCCCCCAAAACCTCTTGCCTATAACCGTTTCTACTATATATACAGTATATATATATGTATATATTATATATACCAGTATATATATAAATATATACCAGCTGTGAAAAAAATAAATGAGGCATCCAAAAAAGGCAGACGCATGCGCCCAGATGACCCGGGATCCCCACACCACCGGTGTCTGCCATTCGGGAGACCCCGACGAGTCGGAGCGCGAGCGCGCGAAGGCAGGGGCTGCGTGCACACCTCGGGGGTGAGACGAAGCAGATCGTTTTGCCGGGGATGGAAATGTGTTCAGGGGATGGATGAGACTCAGTCCAAGTCCGTTTTGAAAATAGATGGAGTCCAAGATGGATGAACATGGATTGATGGAACACAAAAAATGGATCTGATGTGAATCGGTAAACCGGTGTAAACCGGTGTAAATCGGTAAACCGGTGTAAACCGGTTTAAATCGGTAAACCGGTGTCGTCAAATGCCAGACGCGCGTGATGTCGCAATGGGATCTGATCGACTTCATCTTCCAATTGTTGGACACTTTCCATGTTGGGACTTTGGACAGGAGAGCCATGCTTGCTTCAAAGTGGCCTTTTGAGGCGCCAGTTTGAGGTCTTTGAACCCAGGAAGAGGTGACTTTGAGGAAGGTCAGGGAAATCTGGTCAATTGGCAGAACGACGTTGGCTTCACCTGTTTGATCGTCCAAACCGTGATACAAGACCCACAAATTGATACAAAGCCAATCAAACAGTGCCCACTGAGCTCCCAGCGAACATCACCCTGAGAAGTGAGGGAATCCCGCTTGGAGGTGGGGTTGCTCCTTGGCACAAGATGAGATCTGACACGGAGAGAGAGAGAGAGAGAGAAAAAAGGAAAATCACTGGTGATGTAAAAAATCGGTGATGTAAGGAGTAACTTCCAGAGACAAAAAAAGCGTCTTGGTCTTTTGTTGCATGTCTGCATTCTGTCAAAACAGCACACTCCAAACCGGATGCGTCCGACCGCATCTTCAAATCGACGGTCTTCATCACCAATGTTGCCAAGTCCATCGCTGGCTTCTTTGCACATTGATGGACAGGTCATGCAGGTGTTCAGTTTGTCAAACGGAAAGCCCTGTTCGTCCACGTTCCTTCTACACGGAGCACGTCACTTTCGAAACGCTTTTCAAAGGATGCTTCAATAGAATCACAAGTCCAGCAATCCATGATCCCGTTTGCTGATGTCAGGTGGAGAAATCTGCTCAGCATGATTCAGCATGTCCGGTTTCTTTCCCCCCCTACCCCAACCCATCATACCCATCCCTCTCTGAGACCCTCACTGTGCAGCGTCGTTCTTCCGCTCCGTCCTGGGTTCGTTCTTCCGCTCCGAGAGCAGCGGTCGGTCCCCGGTCGCTGCTGGAGTCCGGTTGGAAAAAGCAGGTAGAAAAGCACGTGGCATTTTGAGAGGTCAAGGACTTAAAGAGGAAAGATGTCTTTCTGCCTCAGATCTAGTGAATCGGCAGACAGTTGCTGTCAGAGATGGTGAAACGGAAGTGCTGGATGTCAATGTCCAAGAAACTTCAAAGTCAAGCTGTTCGCCATCCACGCACTTGACAAGTGTCGCCGCTTGACACCCACAAACTGCTACATTCATGTACCTGCCAATCATTCTCAAAGAGGAAGGCCTTTAGATGTACATGATGGGGGTGTGATTGTCATGTACTTCGCCTAAAAGTTCTATTGGTAGCTCGACTTCGTCACCTGCCCTGCGAAATCACCTACTTCACCAGCACTCATCTCCGGCCTTCGTGCGAGCCCGCTTTCGCTCCGGGTGGGCTCCATGCGCTCCTTGACCTCACCACCTGTGGCAGGCGCTGCGTCCAAAACGTCGGCGTTGGAAAAGGCTAAATTACAATAAACACTAAACACAAGTCCCACACAAACATCAAGTTTGGAGACCGTTCACCCCACTTGCGATCGTGGGTGAGCTTAGCGATGAATGAAGGTCTCGTCCACACCAGTGGCGACAAGGGTATGGTCCACATGACCCGTTCCCCACCTTGTGGGGACCCGAAAAAAAGAAGTGCTTGCCTGCTGTCAGAAGAACACAGTTCTTACTCTTCGTACAGTCGCATTCTAGAAATATAATACAAATCATATGCAACTTGCTTTTTGTGCCCAAGCAGTTTGAGGGAACACCATTCGTACCACCAGCACCACGGCCGCAGAGTTTTCTGAGGCCGCGGCTAATGTGGGCATTGCCTGATGGGACCTGCAAGGCAGCCACGAAGGCATAAAACCACACAGAAAACGGATGAAAAGTGGAAACAATGACCCGTTGGGCAAAACATTGCAGCTCCTTACAATGACCCGTTTGGGCGTCACAGCTACCTACTTGTTCCAGCGACCTCCGCGTTCCCGGACCGTGCTCTCCGGAATTTCTAGGAGAATCGGTGACACACAGACACTGCCGGCCTGGTCGGGGCCGAGAACGAAGGTGGAGAAGTGCATCATGGGAGAATTTCCTCCATCACCTCGCATCCAGCGGATGTTCCCACCCGTGAAGCAGCTGGGCGGCTCTGAAGAGCCCCCCCTCCACTTCAAAAAGTAGCGAGTCTGCACCAACGGTATTTGAGCGATCTGAATGTCGATCCATCCGAAAATAAAACACGACGGTTCCGCATCCCTTGGAGGGACTTCCGCATCCCTACACACGGACGACACGTCCCGGACGGCGCGTTGGAAGTCTCGGGTCTGGGGCGCCCGGGCGGAGCTTTTCCTTCGCTTCTCTCCGCTTCTCCTCCTGCATCCTGAGAGTCTCCAAGGCCTGCGAGTCCCATCGGTGGCCGGTTCGAGACAAGTAGGGCGGTGAGAAAAGGCCACCTAAAGGTTGGCCCAGACTAACAAGGAACAATCTAGTGTATTACTATATCATAGTAATTACATATACATATATCCGCCGACCCCGGCCTATAGCCAAAGCCTAGGCGGGGAGGCGCCTGGGACACCGCAGGGTGAAGCAGTTGGCCAAGCCTAGCAGAACCCTTCAAGCACTTCCAAAGGCGCAGGATGCAGCAGTTGGCCAAGCCTAGCAGAACCCTTCCAAGCACTTCCAAAGGCCTGTCCGAGGCCTCAACAGCTGGCTGGCCTGTTGCGGCCTCTCTGTGGCCTGTCCGAAGCCTGCCTCCTCTCTTCTTGTGGGCCTCTCTGTGGCCTGTCCGAAGCCTGCCTCCTCTCTTCTTATGGGCTTCCGAAGGCAACGTTAGGCATTTTGGACCGCCTTCAAACGCTCCTCGGCAGCTGGCAGGCCTGTTGCGGCCTCTCTGTGGCCTGAAGGCGACGTTAGGCATTTTGGCTCGGCTTCAAACGCTCCCCAGAGCCTCACCGCAGCCTTGCCCTCTTCTCGGCAGCTGGCAGGCCTGGCTCCTCTTTTCTTATGGGCTTCCGAAGGCAACGTTAGGCATTTTGGACCGCCTTCAAACGCTCCTCGGCAGCTGGCAGGCCTGTTGCGGCCTCTCCGGTTCACACCAGATGTCGCGCCAAATGCCGTGTCCAAGCACGATCAAACTCTTTGGCGCTCGACCCTTGAAGAATCCTTATATACTATAAAACAAAGTCTACCAGAGCTCCTAGCCACCTGCATTCTACATCGCTGTGGCTTGAATGCCAGCATTGGTGTGAAGCCCATCCAAGTCTCGCTGTTGAATCCCAGGAAGTTGTCAAGGTTCAACCGCCAAACCCTCGAGATGAAAAGGGGTCGGCGGCACCCGGGCGGAGCCCTTACAATATATATATATTGTATATATAACAGGGTACGATTCGGGTACGATGTCTTCTGTGCTTTTCAGGCCTACCTGCTACTACTTGCTTCATCTACCCGGAATCTACACGAGTACGACCACCCGGTGAGAGCCCGGCCGGCCCCTTCCGCCCGCCCGACGAAGCTGCGTCGTCCGACCTTCTGCAGCTGCGTGGACAACTCCTCGGAGCGGCTCTCCGCCTGGCGGTCGGGACAAGCGACCACCCAACCGGCCTTCGCCCGGGTCCGCCGTGTTCCGGTGTCCGTCCGTGCGAACGACGGAGAAGAAGACCGGTCTCAAGTGGAAAGTGTTGAGTTGAAACATCGAAAAAGGACGGGGAGTGAAGACACAGATCATCCAAAATCATCCAAAATCTATGATTGAAGCATTGTTTTCATGAGATTCAGCGAGCCTCGGATTCCAGTGCGATCGTGCTTCATCTCTGCATTCACTGTTCTGTCCATTTTGACTCGCTGTAGAAAACATGTACATCATGTCCTATGGGAGGATGGGAAGGGGACACTCCATCGCAGTTCCTCTCTGGCACTTGAAGCCTCTGAAAGTTTCTGCTGTCCTTCTTCAACCTGGCAATGGACAAGGATCTTTAGAGGAGTCTCGGAGTTCTATATTGCGGAAACATTGAAACTGATTCTTTTGGGCTTGGACGTTCTCCCACCTCAGTTTCTTTTTCCTCCTTCTGTCTCTGCATTTCTCCCTGCAGAAACGGCGGGTGTGGACAGAAACCAACATATGGAACGTCTGGACCACATCACAATGATCAGCAAGTCCGAAATCAGTAAGGAAACAGCATACACCCTCCTGCGCCGGGTGTGGGTTGTCCAAATCTCTCAGAACTCTCACATCCAGGTATATGATGGTATATATGTAAATATAGTTGCATGACACGGTTGCTGTTCAATCCTTCTTTACGAGAGTGACGACTTTCTTCACAAGCCTCATCTTTGAGCGCTTGTTGCACCTCAGGGACATCCAGACATCCTTTCGTCCAGCCATCCACACAATTCCAGCTACAGTATATGCCTTACCCAGAGACTCGGGTTGCACAATGTACCCATCAAAATCACACATCCCAAAGACTCTCGACGTCTCTCTCGCCCCATGTGTGGCCCGTGCCACTCGCCGCAAGCCGTCATTGTCTTCCTCCAGCTCTCTGATGCGACCCTGTTCGAAGCCGGTCGAATCGTCGACGTTCGAAGCCCGAGATCGAGCATCGTTTGGAGATCGAGACGCAACGGGGAGAGATGGGATCGTGATCCGATCGTGGTCTCTGTGTTCTCAGCGAGTCAAAAGAATTCAAAGAACATAAATATTTGGCTGGCCATTGCGTGAAGCCAGGCCTCGCCCTTCAACTGCTGATGACAGGTTGTAGTTCATCTTTGGAGCATTTCCAGAGCAAAACTCGTGTGAATCGACGGTGGTTGTTGTTGCTTCTTCAAGTCCCCACACGGTGTCGCCCGTTGAAACGCCCAGCCCAGTCCGGTCCTCCGCCGATCTCATCCCTCCGCCTGCAGCTCCTCCATCTTCTCCCCAGCTTCACGCACAGCCTCCGCCTGCCTCATCGGACCAGCCGACATCACGGAGCGAGGAGAAAGAACACGGTGATCTTTAAGACTGCTTCACTTCATCTCGACGCCGCGTCGAGGCTGGTGAAGTTCCAATATCCTTCCCAAATAGAAAATCATGAGATCATGACCCTCTTGAAACATCTTGAAACATGTTAAAATTACACAGGAGGCCTTGGGCAAGTCATAAAACGCGGGGCTTCTACAAAATATTTTGAAGCATGTTTCTCCGGTGGAACAGAAAAAGAAAAAAATACATCGGACACCCTCCTCCGCCCCTCACTGGCCCGGTCTCAGTCGGGGGCCTTTCGATGAGGTCGAGAAACTTCCGGATCGAGGCAGCGGCCGCTTCGCTGGTTGAGTCCAGCAGTGCACGGCGCCTGGGCTCCCCATCGGAGTCTCGCACAGGGCGAGCGCAGTGGGCGAGCGCGGAGCGAGGGGGGCCCGTGGGCGGGCCTGGGGCAGGGTGAAGAAGGACAGCACGAGTTCGTTTGAGTTCATGCATTCGGAAGAAGGAACAGTTCATGAATCCTTTGGAGTAGATGACCATTTTCCTGAGGGGGGTATTCAGGAAGATCTGTCGTAATTGGTACCATTGTTATCTTTTGTCTGAGCCTTCTGTGAGTATCTCTAAGCCTTCCAAGGTGGTCTTGGACAGCCTTCCAAGGTGGTCTTGGACCCAGTCATGAGCCTCTGAGCTACGGTCATGAGCCTCTAGCAAAATCAGTCGGCCACCAGCCGACCAGGGAATTTGCTTGAGAGTTCCTTGCCACAGCAGTCCTTTTGGCTACACCACACCTACTCAGTAGTCCCGTTTCACAAGAAAATACAAGAAAGCTTCACCATCCCGATTCCCAACACAGTGCCATAACGCTTGGGTCACTGGATCCAGCCGGGTTGCTGCACAGCCCCAGCTAGGCAGCTAGGCCATCACATTAAACCACCACGACCCAGTCTTGCCCAATGCCAAAAAAGAGGGCGTTCAAAAAATCCAACTTCCCAAACCAAATCCTTCAGTCAATCACCTTGCTTTGGACTTCTTCAGTCAAGCACACAAAGCACACACCATCAGTGGTCTTCATGCAGCGAATGCCGTTTCTACCGGACTCACAAAGCCCAAGACCTCAGCACCCTCCACCAGTGGCACCCACCCTGGGGGTTTCCGGCTCCCGCGATTCCGTGGAGGTCTCCCGCGCATAGGACAGCAGGGTATCGATCTCAGCCCGCACAGAGGACCGTGGCGGTAGCGTTCGGAAAGCTAGATCTGGTGGAGGCCATTGCGTTCTTTTTTTGGTTGGAGGCCATCGCTACTAGTAACAAGAAGCTACTGACGTTCTTCCCTTCTCACCGAGCAGCCACCCTGAAAATTGACCAGTGGGATGGGGGGGTCGTTGAGCCCCAAATCGAAGCTAGGTGAGACAAAACAGGTGCGAAACAAGGAACAATCGTTGAAGGGTTATACATTATACATGTTTCTTTGAGTGATCTTGTTTTGATTGTTTTTTTCATATCCCCACATATCCTGAAGACAGGTCGCTGTTGGCAAGACAGACAGACCACCTTCACTTGTTTGGTACCCTGCGTGCATTCGGCTAATTTTAGGCAGATCGTGCCATACAAGTACTTGGAGGTGATGCAACCGACGTGTCCGCAAGCAGTGCCCGAGAATCGGTCGCTGAAATCATGGAGAGCACCCCAATGCTTTTCTGCCTCACATTCATTGCCTTGTTTCTTTGTCTCACCTTTTCCATCGGTCGGCAGATCTCATACATAGATGTGGAATCATGTTGTGGAGCACCATAGATCTACAGGTCTCAGAGCCCACAAGATGAGAACCCCCCTTCCAAGACCCAGTTCAGAGCGGAAATCCATCGTCAAGGTAGCAGACCCAAAGATCTGCATGGCGACACGTCAGCAGTTGGGGTACAGGAATCAGATGGAATCAGAGCTTCGTCTGACTCAGTTTCATCAGATTGCAAACGATCTTCGGATCCGCTCCACGTGATCCACCGCCGTCCCCCCGCTGGTGAACTTGTAGCGCTGTCTACTATGTCTACTGCTCAAGAGAAGCAAACATGGCTCAACGCGGTCCGGAGAAAGAAAAAGAACAACTCATGGAATCGACTTTTGGAGATTTACATTGGCATCAGTTCCAATCTGTTCAGCCAGTTTCAGCCCCCATTCTCCTTCCCGGCGCCTGAGATGATCGAGTTGAAATCGTGCATTTAAGGATGACCGAACATGGACCAACTCTCATGAAGACGTTGGACTCCTTGGTCAACATGCTCTTCAGAGTTCATCGTTCAAACGACCTTGGAGACTCCACGTCCGTCGCCAGAGCGCTCGGCCCCGCACACAGAGCTCCATCTCCTCTCTCGCCCGCTCGGCCGCGGCCGCCATGCTGGGAGCTCTCAGCGGGGCTGAGGCCGACCTCGGAGGATGCTCTGGCCAGAGCATCCCTGACCCGAAAACACATGCTTTCTGGCCTGGCAAAATGGGAGCATCCTTTTAAACACGGTCTCTACCGGATGATAGATGCACAAAATCAAGCGGAAAACCAGGAGGCTGATGCTGTTCATGGGTTGTTTCATCAAGCAGCACCCTGCCAGAAGGAAGTCAGCCGAATTGACTCCCATGCCTTCCTCTTCCAGGTGTTGCTTGAGAAAGGGAGAATACCGAAGTGATTTGAAGAATCTGTTGATACCAACTAACTACAGACGAACACATCACATCTATAAGTGGAATCTGATGCAGTCTGCGCCATAAATGGCCCCGAGACAAAGACGACAATAACTTTCGCAATTCCAAACCTGTTGTGAACTCCAAACCTGCGATGACTTCATGACTTCATGTCTTCGTCAGAGTGTACCTGCGCATAGGTTCCATATGCCGGACCTCACTAAGGCACCGAACACCAGCTGAAGCTCAGCTCCTCCAACAGGGTCCACACTCGCTTCCTGCAAAGGGCTAGTTCCAACGACGGACAGTTGCTAAGCGGCAAAGGGAACCGGTAGACCAGACGAAGAATCTCTCTGTTGTCTTTACATGTCTTTACATCTAGATGCAAGAACACTTCCTCAAGTATACAAGTATACATCTTTGAAGTCTTGCAAACATTTCGGATCCTCAACAAATGTAGCGCCTGATACTTAGATACTATAGATCGTCATGCCGGGTTCGGAACACGGTCAGGGGACGAGTTGTCACGCGACAAGCGGGCCATGTTTCTGTGATGTTCCTGTATGTTGGGTCGATCCTATTACCTGGGCCCAGTGGATGATGATGGGGCCTGGTGGGAGGCCTTGTCCAAAAATAGTGATTTGCTTGTGAAACCTGACTGCTCTACAGGTCAGAAAACGGACAGACCCAACCTATTGGGTTGTTGGAAGATGAGGGTACATGTGGTCGTCCATTAATCCTTCAGTCGAGACGAGCCCGCCTCCTGGGTGAGGAACGTCTCCACACGTTCAGCTCCTGGCACAAGCACAAGCGGAACCAGGCTGTCGGTCGTATTTAGTCCAGGCACCAAAAACATGCTAGGACGGGCGATTCCGAATGGAGGAAGGGAATGTTCTGGTTGGTGTTTTTTGGGACACAAGAAGGATGGGGCACTTCACTTTGCAGGCTCCAAAATGTCACACTTCAGGTTGCCCCTTGCTGGGGCGCCTCAGCCCGCTGCCCTTGCTGGGATCGGGGTTCGTCTAGGCGCCTCCAAAAAGATTAGCAAAGAGAAGCCAGGGTCCAGGGCCCTTGACAAGTGAGACATGAGGCGGAAATTCCGCAAGCCAAGGAATGTCCTAAGTTGTGCATCTAGAATCTACGATGCCAAAAGCTTTCGAGATGCTCCATCACCTCATAAATGAACACCTGCAAACCTGAAATCTGGATCCCCTCTCTGATCTCTGTGATCTCTCCGTTCTCTCCCACCATCGATCGCCATCGTCTCCTTCTAGGGCTGGAAGCTGCAGAGGAGCCTTCTGTTCGGTCCAATGCATCTGGTCCACTTCACCTCAAGACATCGATTTGGGCCACCGAGAACGCCGTGCAACCACCATCGGCCGAAACCGAAGGGGTCGGGTCAAATCATCCAATCGATCTAGAGAAGAAAGTCCCAAGATCGCGGAACCTCCAAGACTTCCCCATGTAGATTGTGGCACTTGGTAACAGTGAGTTAGACTGTCAGCCGCAGCCGTTGCGAGTTTCGCACGCGTTAGTGGAATTTGAAACGTCTTTAAACCAACGTGCTGCACGGAAGAGAAGGCTGTGAGGCGTCTCCCATCTTCACGCAATCCGTGTGAAAATCGCCATCCTGTTTGGGGTTGCTCTTGCCATCCTGGTTGCTCTTGGTGGACTGTTCAGCTGTTGGAGAGCCCAGATCTCCCTCTGTCTGCACAGAACGCTGGGATCTGCGCCTTTTTGTCTGAGACCTGGCACTGCCCATGACAAACGGGGGGCGGTTGGTCAGTTTCCGAGAAAAGGCGGATGATAGCAAACGGCGGCAGTGCGTTGGGTGTTCAACAACATGTCCTTTCAAAAAATCCAGAAATCCATAGAAATCCCATGTGTTTTTGTTCGTTGAAAAGGCATTAAACACTTCTACGTACTGTCGTATTTACACTCCAAGTCTATCGTTCACTTGAAGCGGATTCGAAGGGACCTTCAGAGACAAGTGGACGAGTGCGTCTGCGGTCCATGGGGTCAATCCAAGACGTTGGGAGGATGTCGTTTCCATCCGTCGGGTGAGCTGTTGGCCCTGAAGAGCTGGGATGCTCCACAGATATCCACAGGTGTCTAATTACTGTCTACTGAGTACAGTGTTGTGCACCGGAGCGCCACTTCTGACACTTTGACTCTGTTCCAGTCTCGCACCAAGATACTGCGACTCTCTATAGACTCCAGTGCCGGAACCAGAAGGTCTAGAAACCACACCGCACAGTACAACTGGAGATGTTTACACAAGCCCAACACCGTCTTCCCACGTGCTAAGCCGCACACATCAGCACGGGTGTTGCCCAAAACCGAAGCCCTCAAGCTTTTCGGGAAAACGACTCTTCAAGTGCTGAGGGTCCCCCACACTTGAGCTGCATCTCCAAGGATTTCTGCAAGGCTGTAGCCTCTCGGACGAAGCCGTTCGGTACCCAAACCGTCTCCCGTCGCCCTGTCCCCCTGGCGACCAGAGCGCCCGGTGGCTGGGCGCGCCATGAGTTCGTGACGTTCTGCGTGAAGTGTTCCGTGACGTTCCTTGCAGTTTTGTTGCACTTCAACAGTGCACAAGAGGTTCCCTGGACTGGGAGCCAGGACTGGATGACCACGAGAACCAAGAAGAAACGCCTTTCGGTTTTCCGTGCCCAGCATACCCTGCGGTTCACAAGCACAGTACTATAGGTTACTAGGTGGAACAAACCAACCAAACTCTGACAGAAAGCCACAGATCTGTTCTGCACAGGTGACCCGCTTTTGTTCGCAGTGGAAGACGGCCATGGTCCCAAGCGCCCACTTTCCATGATGTCCGACTTCTAGGGACGAGCCTTTTGCCGCAAAGTGGGCTCTGGCCTGCGTCCGGCAGGGTTGGCATGAAAACATCTGAACATCCGTTGGATGGCTGTAGGCATGGCAACTCATGCTGAACAGGAATTGGAAGTTTACATTGTGGAAAAGGTGCCGAAGCACGGTGTGTGAAAAGCACCTTGCACCCATTAGAGAAAAGACTGATTCCTATGGGGTGGTCCAATCCAACGGGGTGGTCTATTTGTAGGGGGTGATCCGTTGTTTCATCGGAAGCCCAACAAATGGACCCTCTCTCGACCCTTCGATGCCCCGGAAAAAAAAGGAGTCAGAAACGTATTTCGATCCCAAAATCCAGGTCCAGGTCATGTCTCCATTCGGCTTGCTTCAGGCCCAAAGGCCGTCGACGGACATTGGAAAAGCCGAGCGCCCCGAGCGCCTGGTCACTGCTGCAGCCAGCTTGTAGAAGCCTTCGTGCAGAATTGGCCCAACATCGCTCGTGGACCTCGGGCGCTCCGAGACATCGGATCGCACTGGGAGGCAGCGGGTCACGTAAGACCGCCGAAAACAGGACCAGGACGGACCCCCGAAAAAAAACTGGGTGAAAAAAGGAAACTTCGTCTAGAAGCTATATATATCATAATATAGAGGTTTGCGCAGAGGAAAGACGAGTGAGTCTACATTCCACACAAGTTTGACATCTCCCATCGGTTCCCGTCAACTCAGGTTTTGTGTGTTCAACCTTGGCAATTTCCCTGAGCACAAAGTGCTTCTTTTGATGACTCTTGAGAAATTCGGACCTCCAAACACTTGGAGGCCTCTTCAATCCAAGCAATGAACACCATCACCTCCCTCACCCTGCTCCTAACCTTGCATCTTCTTTCTTGTGGGAGCGCCGCGGTGATTGGCCTTTGGCGGTTCCGCATGCGATGCTCAGCGCAGAGCAGGCCGACCCTGTACATGGGCCAAGCTCAGCATATCTGGTCTCAACAGCCCAGCTTCGTGGAGACCCAGGGACCTTCGAAGAAACGTTGGCGCACGAACATGAGCCACCTGGTCACTGCGTCTGCGTGCTGCGTATGCTTGCAAGTTTCTTTCGAGGGGTGAAGGGAGAGTGCTCCCACTCTAAGTGATGGTCCCTTTTGAGCCTCCACCTGCTGAAGGTTTTGATTCTTGAACTAGGGACAAATTGCATTCTCTTATATCATAGGCCATGGTGTCTCAAGGACTCAGACACCAAAAGGTATCCATGTTCTGCAAAGTGATTCAGTGGGAGGTCCCCCATTCGTCCCCTCCCCCCATGTTTTGAAAAAATATCACACTAAAAACAAACAGATCCACCATCTAGCAGGGGCTTCCGTCTGCCTCGAGACCCGTGAAGAAAACTTTGTTCTCTCTCCGTATCTCGCTGACGTCCAGAATCTCAAGCAATTCAGGAGGCGGGGCAGCGGCCGCATAGCCCAGCTTGCTGTACAGCAGCCGCACCTGGGGACACCAGGCTCCGACACGCGAAGGCGGACGGGCTCGTGATGGGCTACCGGTAGCCGCGGGCAGGGCATGGTCGGCGTCCTAGATGTGTGTGTGGGTCATGACGTGTACACATCTTTCAGTGGATACGCAATGTTGGAGCATTCCAAGAAATGGCCATGATCTGTTTGTTTTGACATGTTTCATACTCTCCGTCTCTGAAGGATGAGAGGATCCAGGATGACTATATATACATCAAGAATGTACATCAAGAAAGAAAGCACTGCAACAGACCTCTCAGGTCACACCTCTCAGGTCACATGGACTTGTCTAGGAACCGCAGATCTCAAACCAACGCATCAATTCCATGCCCTACGGCCCTACGAGGAGAGAAGTGCCTCAAATACGGTCGAAGAACGCTGAGGCTTCCAAAAACATCTGGCGCCACATCTTGAGAAAAGGGTAGCTCTGGCACCACTTGAGCCTTCTGGGCCTTCTGAAAAACCCAAGGAATCCTCTTCACTGCCAAGGAACCCTCTTCACTGTCTCAGTGGACAAGAGCCCCTTGAACATCCGAAAGGCGCCCATCTCCAGGTCTCCGGCAGGGTAAATCACCTCAGCTGGGCGAAGCTTCGTCCGGAGGTTGGGCGTGGCCAAGTCGTCTGAGGTCGAAAGTCTGAGAAAAAAGGCATGGCCAAGCTGGAGAGTAGCCCAGAATAGATGGACCAGCAACTTTCTCTACTAGTTATAGTATGTTGTAGTATGCTTCTGTTTCAATGTCATCTATATATATAGCTGGATCTCCACACGAACCCTCCTGAGACTGTCCGGAACGTCTCACACGCATCGTTCGTTCGTTCTCCGGTCTACCGGACCTGCTCGAGTCCGCCGGTGGGGGTGTTCCGACAGGTCCAGTGTGCAGGGTCGTGTGCTGCGGATCCTTCCCAAGGTCAATGAAAACACCAACGAAAACCATACAACCAGGAGTGGTTGTAATGCCTGGCCGCGGTGGGGGCATGTGTTGACCTGATGTTTTTATGCCTTGTTGGTGTTGCCCTGTTTGATGTTTAGTATGCCAATATGCCAAGGAATACCAAGGAGTCATGTAATATGTTGTAATGCCTGGCTGTGGTGGGGGTCCACATGGGCCATGGCCTGATCTCCGAGAAAAAACAGAATCCAAGTTCAGTTGTGTTGGGCATTTGGACGAATGTGGCTTCCCGACCCGTGCTCCAGCTTCGTCCCGATCCGCATCTCAGGTGCTCATCTCAGCTCTACACGGCCCAAAGACCCCGCCCATCCGCTTTCTTCGAGCAGCAAAGCGCTGCAATCGCTCTGGGAAGTAAGCCTGGCCCCCGCCAAGGTGAATTGAGGTCTGACCCCGCATGGGTCAGACCCCCCAACAAAACTTGCAGAGGCCAAATGGGATTGATGCTCACCCCTGTTGATCTCCCAAAGACTCGATGCGCATCTTCCGACACCTGGAAGATCTTGGCCATGGCCGAGATGTGCGTCCAGAGCCGCCAGACGGGCTTGGCATCATAGCCCAAGGCGGTGTGCGGCCGGCAGTCCAAGAGCACGGTGAAGCGCAGCAAATCGGAGCGCTCCACCTGTTCTTCGGCCGCGTCCGGTCTAACTCGGTGAACCCCGGGCCATCTCTGGTGGGGAACCAAGTCTCCGGCAGCCATGGAATTCCATGCGGGGAAGGCCCAAAACAAGGGGATCGGGAGGCAAGGAGATGTGGTTTTGGGAAATGGCTGCCGAGATCAAAACAAGTGACAAGATCCTGATTGCTGTAGTGAAACATGTCTAAACTGACCAAATCCGAATCCTCATCCTGACCTGTGACTCTGACTGAGAAGGTTCAAACCACCAAAGACGATGTGTCCAAATACTCTTTTACCACGAAACGGGTCTTTCAGGAAGACTGATTTGCGTGAAAGCAACAATGAGACTGACCAAGAATTTCTCGTGGTTTTCTGTGACATCGTTTCACAAAAATAGTCGGCTTCCGACAGGGTGTCAGACGTCTCTATCATCTCATCCGACTCTTCTTTAACCAGTCTCCGTCCTCTTCCCCACGGGAAGCAGTGAAGCTCAGGTGTGGCACACTCAATGTTCAAAGAGATTGCTTGCTAGATATGTCCCAAAATCAGATGTCCCAAAAGTCAGGGCATCTGGCCGCCAATGTTTCTCTGAACAAAACATAACAAAACGAAAGCTTGACAAAACGGGCAACCCCAACCCCACCTCTGGCCTGAGCTGTTTACACTCCGACTCACTAACATGGAAGTGGAGAACCCACGGTTTGTAGAGGAAAGTAGTCTTCCAAGAGGCCATTTTCCACTTCCATGTTAGTGAGTCAGAGTGTAGATCCTTTTGTCATGTCCTGAGAGTTGAAGGTGTTGAAGGTGTCCTTTTGCGTTTTACCACGACGTGTCTCCAGCATTGCCTTGAGAATGGTCACACGGCTGAAGACCTTGAAGACCTTCAAATTCTCACCAGTGGCGGACAGAGTTTTCACACATCACACTACTTCAAGAGGAAGAAGTGCCCAGGTCGACAGAGTGAGGGGGACATTCAACGGGTGCCTGGACTGGATTTCAATTCGATGTGCCGTGATCCGATGTAGGTCCTGCTTGCCCCTCGATTCTGTCAGGGCCATACCACTCAAGATACTAGTACTGGTGTCCTCCAACATGTCTAACCATCCACCTAACGGTCCTAACGCCTTCCACCACTGTTAGCACCGAATTGTTCCAGGGTGTCCCCATCCTGTCATCTGTCCGCCTCAACATCCAGACTCCGGACCAGCTTTTGGCAGTAGAGTTCTGGTTTGAAAGAGATGTCGATGCTGCAAGGCAGCAGCAGCAAGAGTCGGCTGCCATCTCTGGCGAAACCGTTGAAGCGGAAAGGGTTGGGCAGGTCGCTAGGGGCCGCAGGCCACTTGGAAATGCCTCTCCTCAGCACGGCGCTCCAGGAAGGAGCAAAGAAAAGAATCAATCATCAAAGAAAACTCTTTAAAAGAATGGTCCCGACTTATATCCTAACGCCTTTGATCTGACCTGGAAAACATCTGATGACATCAATAAAATGTGTTGCATTTGTTCTGAACTTGCTGGGTTAACTGATGACCACGTTCAATCTAGGAGTACATCCTGGACTGGAGGGCGCACACCCTCCAGATGTTGTTTCCTTTCTGGAACAAAGCAGGTCTACAACCATTTTCACACGCACTCGCCGGAAAAGAGCCACAACAATAATCGACCACTGTTACACTTACTTGGAGGCCAAGTCGTGCTCAAAATGCCAATCGGCGGGGCGGCGAATAGGCAGGTTGATGCCAAACATGGCGTCCAACAGTGTTTCAATAAGAAATGAAAAGGGACGTGGTTGTTCATCTGCTTTGAAGCAATTCTATCCAAAAAGCACCGTTCTCGTTGCAATCTATATAGGTGAGCGAAGGGCAAGAACCCGAAAATGGAGCTGCGGCGAACGAACAGGATGCACTTTTCTGATCACAAGGAGCAGGCATGGTCAATATACCCACCATAGGTGTGTGTTGAAGGTACCACAGAGTGTCGTGCTTAAAGGTACCACAGGCAGTCGTGGTCAAGAAGCAGCAACCGTGGTTACGGAACCAGTACAGTAGGTGTGGTTAAGACCCGTCGTAGATGAACATTCCCTGACGTTTAGAACTCTTCACTAGAAGATAGAGCAGAACTCTTCTGGGAATTGCGGGTCCAATGACTCAATATGACTCAATGACCTGTCCACACCACACTGTCTACACCTCCACGCTCCGTGTCCAAAAACCCCCTCCACGCTCCACTGCAACGCTCCAGCGTCCTCCACTCGAGGTAGGCGGCAACCAGCTTGGTGGCCTTGGACACATCGCCGGAGACGCTCTTCCGCGCCAGGAACCGCGACAGCTCGGCGGCGGGGCATTCCGGGAAGTCCACCTTCCGGAGCCGGTGCCCGTTCAAACCGATCAAAAGGCCGGCTCGCGAATCACCAGCGGGTCGATTTGTCCCGAATGCGTCGCGAAGGGTTCTCGTTGAACTCTGGGGGTCTGGGTCCCTCTGGTTTTTTTTTACTTAGCATCCAAAAGGTCTCATCTTTCTGAGACTTCACCTGGCACCTCTCTCACCTCTCCGACTTGTTGGACTTCGCATCGCCAAGGGGTGATCGATCTGTGTGTTTCCGCATGCTGGATCACCAACAAGTGCCACAAGATGGGTTTCTGACAGGAAAAAGAAACCCTTCAGCCACTGAAACCACTGGGTTTTTCAAGGTTCAAAGGTCACCTTAGTGTGTTGCGGTTCAAACCATCTCCGCTGAATCCCGGCATCCATGAAAGGGTGACTGCTGCGGGCTACAACCCAACCTCGAAAACGCGCGGCTTCGCGCTCTCGAGGGATGGAACCCCCGCAGCTGGTCTGGATTCAAAGACATGTGGTCTGTGGTAAATGCAGGAACATCTAGACCTATGAGCGATCTGTTCAAGAGCCGCTCCAACCATCTTCACAGGGGTCAAGAGTCAAAACCCACAGTGGATCCTTGGCCCTGGCTCTGCAGCTTGGCTAGCCGCTAGCCCCCCAGCAGAGGAAACATGGCTCCTTCGCTCCCCATGGCGAGCTCCGGGCGCCTTCAGCTGTTGCAGCGATGGCAGTGGCACGGAGTAGTGTGCAGCGATCTCCTGGTCCGTCTTCAGCTTTGGAATCACCAAGCCCAGGCCCATGCCACCTGGGAGCATCGAGAGAGGAACAGGCGGTCAGTGGAGAAGGTACAGGAAAACCCCTGAGGGATCCAATCACCGTACCTCAGGTTCGGTACCAGTCGTCTCGTCTCAGTGTCGAACACATTTGCCTACCTGAGGTAAGGTACGGCTGGATCCCTAGGGCCCTGTGCATGTCTGGGGGCCCCAAGACGGAGGGGTTCTGGTGGCATTGACCTGTCCATGCTTTCATGGATGACATGGCCCTGTGCAGGGGTTCGTCTCACTGCTCCGGCGGGTCGGAGCAAGAGGAGTGTTCCATCAACCGTCTGCCTCCCAAACCCGCGGCGCCCGCGTGGATGACCTGTCAATCAAGTTAGACCTGTCAGGAAACAGGGCGACTGAAGACTGCTGTGTCCAACGTTTTCCAGGATGGCAAATTCCTCGTGCCGCACTCGTGCCCACCTGAACTAGACCAACTACAACTCTCCTGCATGATGAAATACTCAGTGTAGCGGGTAAGCGTGACTGGGTGTAATGTGATGTTTTCGGGTTGGTCTGCACTCGGTGCGCTGCACTCGGTGCGCTGCGTTGCACTCGGTGCGCTGCACTCGGTGCGTTGCACTCGGTGCGATGCACTCGGTGCGTTGCACTCGGGGTGTTGCACTCGGTGCGTTGCACTCGGCGCGCTGCGTTGCACTCGGTGCGCTGCACTCGGTGCGTTGCACTCGGTGCGATGCACTCGGTGCGTTGCACTCGGTGCGTTGCACTCGGTGCGTTGCACTCGATGCGTTGCACTCGGTGCGCTGCACTCGGTGCGCTGCACTGGGTGCGTTGCACTCGGTGCGTCGCACTCGGTGCGCTGGTTCTCGAGTAGCGTCAGTCGCTGATCGCCGCCGCAATGGAAATACTCGCTCTCGCATCACTGTGGATTTCTCCCGGCCACATCCTCGCAGACGTTGCTGATCAAAGCAAGGGTCCTCTTTCGCGGAACTGTTTGCCGCCAATAATAGCAACTTCAACATCCACTTGCATATGTGTATATAATATATATAATCTTCCTTTAGTAGATAGAATATGTTTTTGGACGTTCCGGAATTTTATGCGGCCAGATTATTGAAACTTCAAAAACGGTACATGGAATAATTTCAGAGTATATGATATATGGAATATGTTTTCAAAAGTCTGGCGTTTTGCGAGCGTGATATTGTTTGTGTGAGTGTTTGTTTTGAATGTACCTTGTGAACTTGTGCTTCTGCAGCCATTTGTGCACAAAGCCAACAATGTGCCTCTGCTGGGGCATTTGGGAGCAATCCACAAGCTAACAAAAACAAAACTGCCCTTTTCTTTACTATCTTTTTAAGTCCGAACATTAAAAAAAACAAAAACAAAAAAGGGTGTTATGTTTCTTAAATACTCTATCTACTTTTCTGAACTTTGAGGTCGCATGATTGATTTTTTTGAATTCCATCTACTTGAGGATGATTTTATATACAGTATGGTCGGTTAGACCATGTTACACCTGAGAAGTCCCGCACCACAGGATGAATGAAGGCACCTTAACTCCCGCAACAAGAAGGGCACCCACACCAGACCTGCCAAAAACAAACTTTCCCAAAGCTCGAATTTTTATTCAGATGCACACCCGCTAGAACAAAAAGACATGATTGCCACCCCTAAAAACAAACAGATTCAAGGACAAACCAGTCGTCTATTCCAACAAAAAAGAGGTATATACGTGTTTCATCGTTTTTCGTGCTGATCTCAGCCGCTGGTGCCCTCCAGCTCATCGTTATCCGACAGCTCGTCAATGGCGTCGAAGAACTCGACAAACATCTCATCCATGGTGGCATCTTGACGCTCATCCTCCTCCAAAGGCACATGGAGGGGCCATGTTTCATTGAGCGGCACGCCTGCCAGCTTTCTACACCTATATACAGGACCTACAGTGAAGCCTTCTCGCACGAATTCAGCTCCAAAACATTGTCCTCCATGCCAAATCCTCGAAACCCTTCTCCCCCAGATCTCCTTCTGCGAGCTCCTCCGCCGCCCATGGGCGCCGCCTCCGGCGCCGCCACTGCCACTGCGCGTGCGGTGCGCCGCCCCGGCGGGGCTGGGCTCGGCGCCGAAGTCCGAGGCGTCGTCCTCGTCACTGAGGGTCTCGAAGCCCACGACACTCGCGGCCACCCGTTCAAATCCGCGGGCCACTGGGCGCCACAAGCAGCAGCGACAACACCTCGAGAGTAGGCACGGTGCTGGTGGTGCATGTGCACGTGATGTGAAACGGTTTGAGCAGTCCTGTGCGTTTTAGATGGGAGGGTATGGAGACCAGAAATGAATCAAACCAAACACCACGGTTCGTTGGAGCCTTTCAATTCCCACCAATCCCACCGCGCGATCGTCCGCGCTTTTGATCGGTGGCCTCCAAGGTCGGAAGCGGGGAGAAAACATGGCGGTGCCCGTGGCGGCTCTCCATGTGAGGACAAAACCGGAGCTGGGCCTGGACCGTCAAAACCGGACCGGATCGGTGCGGACCTGGAACGACAGATCCGTATGAGACAGATCACCTCCATCGTTCGGACCTGGACCACTTGAGTTGATGGACGGCAGGGCCGGACTCCAATTGCCGTGAGATATGGCTCCCAATGGCCGTTTTGGGGTGTTTTCGTAAAACCTCCCCGGTCTGGCTGCATGCAAGGCTGAAGAACTTCAGACTGTTTCAAGAAGTGGACCTGAATGGCTGCGTCTCAGCATCAGAATCTTCCAACTGCCCCAGCTCCACTTCAGATGGAGCGTCCATGCACACTAGGTGCATATGCACCTCTCCTTCAGAACTCTTAAAACTGCTGGAGGCTGGACAGCACGTGCTGTCCAGCAGGTGGGAACATGGAAAAGGCCATCCCTGGTGCTACTCATTGGGCTATAGACTTGATACCAGCTCGAAAGTTCCTGCGTACCATCATCCATGTTTGTTCCAACGAGCAAGGTAGAAAGTTGGGATTCCTCAGAAGGAACAACCGGCTAGATTACACAAGAGTCGTGAGTGAAGTCGGGCCTACGGTAAGTGGAAGATGGTGCGGGTCTATCCTTGCCCTCTTTCACCCCCAAAAGCAGGGAAGTTCATCTGCACAAGCTGTACAACATGCACGAACCATCAAACTCAGGTCTCCGGCTCATCCAAGACTCTCGCCAGCCGCAGCCGTCCGGCCTTCACAATGGGCCTACGGGTGCGGCAGTTCGGCGTTTTGGCAGGTTTTTGGTCGGCATCGCAAGAGACCGGTAGTACGGTGGGGTGCCTTAGGTTCAAAGGCCAAAAGCATCCATGCACGTGTCCACAAAAAAAAATAAACTCATTTGGGCTTTCGGTCACCCAAAGAGTCACATGCCGACAGAAGCGAGCTTCGGAAACCGGATGCTCAGAGTATTTCGTGCCGTCTGGAAGGTGCGACTTGGGAATCTAGCAAGTGCACTTGCTCCAAGTCACATCACTAAGACTAAGCAAAAAGCTACCTGCCTTTTCAAAATGGACTCACTTTCAGAAGAGTCGTCACGTGCGACTTCACATCCGACGACTTTCAGGGGAAGAACTGGCCGCCACGGCCGCCACTTATTTCAATCGCTGAAGAAGGAGAAGATGTTGAACGATTCTCTTGGAGGTTTAAAAAAATGAACGAAGCCCCTCAGGTTTTGTAGTAAAGAAGAAAAGCATGTTGCCAGCGCAGTAGATAGAAATGGTGTCCACAAAGTTTCTTAAGAGGGGATTCACTGTTATAAATATCATTACTGTAAATATATATATATATAATATCTATATATTAATATCTACTAATTGCTTGCCGGTCACTTTACAGTAAATTCAAGTTGATGTTCAACCTTGGCGATATTTCTCCCGACTGTTGGACAAGTCGGAGCGCATGGGAACAATCAGAACTTGCGGATCAAAGAAGAGCACGAAGGCCAAAAAGTGCCCAAGGTTACAGATTACACTGATCACTCAACGGATTTTAAGTTGTACCCTTGGCCGTTCCCCTAACTCTATATGCACATATATGCACTGTATAGTCTGGAGGATTCAAGGGCACTACAAGTTGATGATCCAGTTGTGTGAGTCACAAATCCTGGCCTCGTCCCGTTGCATCCCTTCCCCTCCGAAGGATCCAAAGATCCGAAGGCGGCCAGACTGGGGGTCCAAACCCAGAAGCTGCGAGTTCCTCCTTGGCCACCCGCACAGCATCCACGGCGCAGAATCCTGGTCCGACCAGCGCGACCCCCCGAGTTCCCCGGCGCACCGGTCACCGCTGCGTCCGATGACAGCGACTGGGCACCACATCGCTTCTGGTGACCGAAAACGCTTCTGGCCCTCCACCCGAGCAGGGCGCCGTCCGAGCCGCTACCGGTGCGTAGATGCTCACAACACCACCGCTGCGTCCCCGTGTGGCGACACCAGAGGTTCGGTCTGAGCCCCCACGGGCAGGAAGGACCTCTGAAAAAAAAGACACAGGTGGTGTTCAAGGGAAAAGTCTCCGACATGATCCAGGTGAGAAAAAAACTGAGCTCGTGTGCTGTTCGGCCACAAAGAGATGTGGATCCCAGGGCTACCATACCCAGCTACCGATCGTTTCCTCTCACCACGGGGGTCAGGAATGTCTGCAGACACCTCCAACACCTCCCACCCAGCCAAAGCTCGTTGGGGCCGTGGGGATGCACTCTGCGTCTTGTGACGCGTCTGCGTCGGATCCTGGCAAAAGAGTGGTGGAAGCCGGAAGCCACTGATGACAGACAGGCCATCCGTAAAGCGGACCATCTAAGTTGACTCCATTGACCCGTTGCACCATCGACTCAGGTGTGAAAAAAGTGTACGCTTCGGGGGAGAGCGGTATGGCTGACCCGGCAACAACTTTTGCTGGACATGGGTTTACCTACTCTGGCACTGACTTCAAAGTCGTCTATTCAAAGCAGCCATGTCTAACTTCTCCTCTCTCCATCAGGTGTTCATCAGCACAAGAGATCAAATCCTCTACCTTCGGCATGTTGGATCAGGAAGCTCCAAACATCTCGGTTTAAAGAGAAAAATACGTCCGATTTCCAGAGCCCTTCCGGCCCCGATGCGCGAAGGGCCTGCCTGCCCTCGACCTGGACCCCTGGCGGTTAGAGCCATGGCCTGGCAGGAGACGATCGGTTAGGCCTGTGAATTGGTGGCTCTGAAGGGGAAAATGGAAGCGCAAACTTTGAGACAGTCTGGGATCAAAACTCTGGGGGGAAGGCTTCTGGACTTTGATTGCTTCTTGAGGGCAGGGTTTAGGACGATCCAAATGATATGTTGGGGTGAGAATCCGGGTTTGACTCTTTTTGTCTGGGCGTCACGCAGGTTGAGAAATCAGTTGTCGCAGCGTCCACTTTTGAGGATCGCCCCAAGTGTTGGAAAAGATTGACTCATATTGAAAAGATCATATGTTGACAGTTGTTGAGACCAACACCAAGCGACTCTACAAGACTCACACAGCGAGTCTTTTTCAGGGATGAAAAAGAACTGTGTTGGGAAACAGAAGATACCTCCCCAGTTTGGATGACTGACTCCTCTGACTTTATATTATGTTTGACGGTCGAAACAGAGACTCAACAGGACTCTCTGCGACGTGGCGTGCACGTGGAGAGGACAGTGCTCGCGCTCGCGCTCTCCCTTCGGCCTGAAGATGAAGCGCATTGCAAATGAATTCCTTAAGACTGAGACTCGCTCCCTGACTTGGAGGAAGAATATGGATACCCCGTTTTTGTGGGCTTTTCTATGGTGGCTCCCCCCGAAAACCACCAGATTGGACGAAATGAGCGTGGTCGGTGTCACCCGTGTGGTCGGTATCACCCTCTTGATTTCTCTCTCGGCAATTGACATGACGATGATATTACCCTGATTATGTACGATTCTTTTGGGGTAAGGAATCCTTGAATCTCGAAACGAGTTTCGAAACAATGTAGCTACACTACATAGAGGGCAGAACTTCAAACTGACATGGATGGATTGCAACTTCGTCAGCTCCTCTTGCATGTTCCATCTATATATACCTAGAGCCTTAGTGACCTTTGTTTTGATAGGAAAAGACCATATTTTGGATAGTTGACCCTCCAAAATAGAGGTCACTCAGGCTCTAGGTAGATGTTACGCTTGAGCCCATCGCTCCGACCGCCGCGGATCATCCCGACGGTTCCGGAACCAGAGGGTCCGGTGATCATCCGTGACTCCGTTCGAAGCGACCGGATGATGGAAGACGACCGGACAACATTGCTCAGGTCGTAGCGGTGTTGACTCATCCCAGCTTCAAGGTTGACTCAGAAAGGACTCCTGTGCATGTGACCAAGAAGAGGTGGCAATATGTTTGGGGTGCAATTTCATCTATGCTTTCTATGTACCAAATCAATCCAAATCGCTTCTGCAAACCTCAGCGGATGAGTCCAGTCGGGTGCAGCCCAAATGGGTCCAATCCATGCTGGTGCCCCAAGGCCAATTTCTAAACAAACAAGGTAAAGACATCGCAAGACCCATAGATCCGGGGAACCTGGACCATTTTCATAGGATTTTCCGTTGGTCCTTGGTCCTTCGCACTCGACAACACCTTCTAATACCCTGAAAAAGTCGGAAGAAGGTGTCCAGGACGAAGGCAAATCCCCAACCAGGACCGGACCGGCCTGGTCACTCTCTCCCGAAGTCCTGGCCCCTCGCTCCCCTCCATTTTCGTTGGGCAGCGAATGCTCAGGTGCTGGGCGGCAAACGAGCGTGGCCTCATGGCCTCTTTGAGCAGACGTGACGTGACACGTCATGTTGAATGCAAATCCAGTCGATGACTTGCTAGGATGACTTGATCCAATTCATGTCGACGGGCAACAAAACAGGAAAGCTTATGTAAATCATCTGGTTGCTTCTTGATCCCAGCTGGTCTATTTATGCGATCACTGAAACATGACCCCTATTGGCTTCGTCAGAAACCATTCACCATGACAAGTGACTGGTGTAAATTCCCATTCCTATGGGCCCAGTGCAGGGATGATGCCTAGTGACTACTAGGCCAGACCCTTCAAGAATGGAGATGTTCTTGTTGACCGACTGTCTACCGATGTTCTTGGGAGTGTCCCCAACATGTGACAAATCAGAAGATTCACTCTTTGATTCTGTTGGGGGCCACCTCGGCCTTGGCTGCTGTAGCAAGATCGCCACGTGGTTTTCCCAACGAAATGGACGAGTTCGGGGGGCGCGCCAGCCTGGGGGTGACTCCGTAGTTCTGGATCAACCATAATTCCATACAAGTTCAAACCATGCAAATCGAAATGCTCATCCATTGGACAATGGGTCTACACTTTCACCCACGCAGACTGCACAAACTCTGCGAGAGTTCGCTCTGCACCGGTTTCTTGATGGAAATCTCAAGGAAAAACTCAAAGAAAGGCTCTTCGACGCTCGCAAGCTGGGCGTGACCCCACGTGCGACCAGTGGCGTCAAGCGCTACGGCCATCCTAAGGCAGTCCTGAACGACACAATCCATGTAAGGCGCTGCACGTGTTCATGAGGCAACGGGGCCTTTTGGAGACCCTTTTTGGGGACCTTCATGATTTTTCAGGTATTGGCCACTTCTTCATCCGGGGTTGGCATGAGTTCTATTCTAGAAGAGCCGTCTACTCTCAGACTACTCTGCCATCTGAAGAAACCGACTCAGGAATAGGATCTAAGGCGTCCAACATCTGTTTTAAAAGAAATAAGAACCGATCTCCAAAAACCTCCCCTGAATTGAACCGGCTAACAGTTCCACCGGATGACTTGCCATTCCCTGAACCGGCTTAGATGGATCCAAGCAGAAAAGGATAAGACAGTCACAAGAGAGGAGGGTCAACAAGCCCTCAGAGGCTGAACAAAGCTCCGCAACCGGAAGCCACACTCGAAAAACCTGTGCCACAAACCGGATCCCCCCATGAATCCTGACCCGCATGCCGATGCATTAGAGGTCAAAAGAAACAACTCAGGTGTTTAATCCTGGATGAGAAAGGCAGGATGAACAAACATCCACACAAAAATCACATGGATTGTGCCTCACCTTGCAATTGCAAACCTAAAAAACTTGAACGCTCAGTTTGGCGCGTTTGGTAAGACCAGAAAAACCTCCTTCCTAAGCATCCAATGTTTCTGGTCGATTAGAGTCCTTTCAAAATATTGGATCACAATTTCCAGCACGCGCTAAACTGAAGCACAAAACTGGTGATGAAATCTTGCGGCATGCAGAGTTTGCCGAAAATACACGTATACAAATGGCCAAGGCCTGGCTTGAAAATCAACCGTTAATGATCTTCCAAGTTAAATTTCGGCAAACCACCAAAACTGATACCTCCCCTAACCTAATTCACCTTGATGACGGCAGCTTGCTCGGCGGGGTACTCTGAACTAAGCCCCCCAAGAGAAGGATCCCAAACTTATCATGCTTGTGTATGTGTGATTTATTGCTGGAAAACCTGAGACTGCAAAGCGACGTATGATAACCATGCTCCATGGCCAAACCAAAAAAAGAAGAAGAAGAAGAATGCAACAACTGTGCATGACAAAAACAATCAATCAGGATCAATCAAGTCTCTTTAGGAAAAATACATGCAGCACCTAACTGGCTGTTATGCAAAAGGCCAAAGCTGCTTGGAATCCAAGACACCATGGGGTTCAAGTTTGCCATGGACGTTCGTGGATTCCTCCTCTGAAAACATCGCAGTCTCTGGGCCAGTCCCAAAAGGAGAAGACCTGCCATGGTCCCTCCCAAATCTCCCAAAACGAAGGAGTTAGAATCCAAATTAGCTTGACTTGTCCTATTCGGAGAAATGTTTGACACACCCCAATCCTCAAATGTACATCAATTCTGGACTCACCTGGCATCACGGAGTCTATGCTTGTTTGTGGGGACTGGACCCCGCCTCCCCTCGCCTCACCTCCCACTCTCGTCCAGCCCGGGAGATTGGTTGAGGTCCCAACCGCCAGACATGCACCAACACGAGCTGTCGAGAAAAGTCATGAGTCATGATGCGTCAGATTACGTCTTTGATGAGGTCTTTGTACCTTCATGCTGGCTTTCCCCGTTTCACAAGCTGCATTCTGAAGCGGCTTCGTTCCGAAGCCATGCCTCTTCAGCCCCGACGCACGGAGCGACCTGGAGACTGAGACCTGGACCTGAGACGGAGCGACCTGATACCTGCCAAGCTGATCGCACGTCGAAGCCGAATGCTGGGTGAAGCTGTGTTTCATTTGCCATTTTCTCCATGGCTTGTTGTGAGGCTCTCAATATTTGTACATATTCACCCATACGCACATTCTATCAGCAACTGAGGTTGAGAAAACCCTTCAGTCAGTCATGCCATAGACCAGGGGTGGCGGCAACAGCATCTGCCAAGAGTGATTTAGATCCAAGTGCTTATGATTTATTGACCATTCCTAGTTAGTGCCTACCTACACAGTTCCCACAACCTTGGGGTGGTCCATGTTTCATCATGTGTCCATTCCATGGTTTCCACATGTTTCCACCAATCGGGATCCAACGTGCCGATCGCGTGGCGCCTGAACCGTGAAGCGACTGGACACCGACTGAAGCGAAGAGCTGAGAGCGCTGGACACCGACGCCGCTGGAGACGCCGCTGTGAGTCGCAGCTCAGCTGGTTGACCTGACACTGAAGACCTTGAGGAACTGTGACCTGGGTAACCTAAAGAAATGCACACGTGCCTTGCAGGTCGTCTCTGAACCCACTCCAAATTTGAAGCAAGAGAAGCAACAGAAGCAACAGCGACCAAGATTTGGGGCACACGTGTGTATCGCAACGATCTGAGAGGGCGAGTGACGCCTGCGAACCCTGGCGGGTCGCACCTGAGAATGAGGCTGTGTCGTGAGAGCTCCAGTTGATCGATCTTCGATGAAGAACAAATGACTCCACGAACAATCTAAGATAGATTCAACCACGAGCTTGAAGAAGGTGCTTTGCTGAATGAGGACATGACATACGTTCACAATCATTCACACATGTGTCCTAAGAATGCGGATTATACAGTGCTTCACTGCAAAGTTCTGCGAAACTGTGGAGATCTCGACGGCTCTGCCTACCTATGAAGCTGCAGGCAAAGCTGTGTTTCGAAACCGCAACTGTGATGAAACCCTGCACAAGCGCTTGACACGATAGCAAACCGATTGTTGCTGTTGTGCCGCGGCATCCAATGCTCTGAAAAATAACAGAAAACAAACAGACTTTTCTGGGTGACGACGTTGCTTTTATATCGAACCGAATTGGCCGTATTCTTCTTGGGCTTCTCAAAGATTTGCCTGATCTTCTGCCTGAGCTTGAGACCTGTGAGACTGAGCGACTGAGCGAGGCCAAAAAGCCCAATGCTACTTCGTGGCCTCTTTATGGTTCCATAGTCAGCTGGAGAACATACAGAACTGAGTTCTCAATCGAAATTTTCGATGCAGCGTTCTGGCCTTTCAAACCAACTATATACTTCATGGGGGTGCCGTCTTCAAAACTGAGAGCAGGCCTCGACGTACCAGGTGGATTCATGGGTGGCTAATCGATTGAACGGGAAAACCATATGGACCATGGCCATCCATGGATGGAATGAGGGCCATTGGCGGCCAAGGCCATGAAAGCATGGGCGAGTTCACTCGCCTGAAACCAGCTTGCTGGCCGCAGTGGCATTGATTCATGCATAGACCAACACCCTTTGGAACAGGGAATGCTGGCGACCCAGCGAAAGATCGATGCACCTTACCTAGAAAGGGTGGTGAGGGAAAAGGATAGCAACATAGAAGAGAAAAGGTTACAAACCTTGTCAAAGAAGATGTGGAACACTGTGCCAATTTGCGTGGACGGGTGGTCTTTCTTTTGTCTCCTGGTGACCCTGTTGTTAGCTGCTCATCCTGTTTGTTTTGAATAATGACACTGCGGCCCCTGCACCTAGTAACCTTGAAAGACTGGCTCTGAAGTACCTAGCCTGCAACCTGAACTGTGAATGCCAAGAGCAAGCAAAAATAGCCAAGTTCATTCGCCTTATCTGATTGTTCGAAAACGCTGCTTGGCAGCTTCGGACAATGTTTCAAACGAAAGACTGCCTGGAAGATACAACAAGCCCACCAAACCTAATGCCTGAAATACAGTTGCTTCTTTTTGTAGGATTGTCTCATTTCAGCCAAAAATGTTTCAGCACCACGATACATATCAAAAAGAGCTTGGCAATTTCTGCTCACCTTCAACTGATTGACTACCTGAAATCTGAACCTGCGCGCTTGGCTTGTCACGACAGAACTTCCACGCTGCCACGCTGTTCAACTGATGAGCCATTTTGCACCGTTGCACATCCAATCACTACATGAGGGAGATGACACGTTTGAGAAGGGAAATCAATGAACATGCGGTGCGGTGATGGAAAGTTCAAACAGTTGAGTCGCCATTTGTTGTGTACCCAATCTGCTCTCAACCGAAATCTGCTCTCAACAATGACGTGCTCCAACAGGAGCATCTCGCACTCTCAATCATCCCCTTTCGTGTCGCACAAGCCAGGCACAGGTGCTGCGCGTGCCGCGCTGTCGACACGCGCTCTGACTGGCTGGAAACCTGCGGACCTCAGTCGAAAAGCGGTCCCGAATCTGTATGTCCAAGGGCTGAGAATGTTTTGACTAGCATGAAAGTGGAAAACCACTTAGTTTGTAAAGGAAAATGGCCTACCAGCAGCCCATGCCACCACAATATGTGTTCGTCAGAGTCAGAGTGTATCGCTAGTCATGGAGCAAAGATCTGGTGGGTCAGAAGGACCTCACCGTCCAACTGGACGAGTGGTAGCCTAGTGCAAGCATTCCGGACATTGCTTGTGCAAGAAACGAACCCAACCGGTCGTTTTAGCTGGATGTTCAAATGTTGCCTCTACTTCAGGAGATTGGTGTTCACGGACCAACATGAACCTGCATGTTCACACACCAAGTTCAGAAGATATGATGTTCATGTATTTTCCAGACAGAAGACAACTCACGAAATCGCAACGACACCATCTGCGACTCTGAGTTCCGGACTGGTATCTGCTCTGAACCTGACAGACCTGATAAAAAGGCTGCACCAGCACTCGTCGTACAGCAAGAGGCGAACAGCAACGCCCCGCGCGGGGAATGCTTCCCGAGTCGTGCAGTCGTCGATCTGGAAAATCCGATCGGCTGAAGTGCCCGAAAACCCGACAGAGGTCACTCGGGTTGGTCAGATGTTGCGAAAAGAACCGGCAGCTGTTCTCTTCGCCATCGGGAAAATCATGGGAGTTGGCATCCTGTCCATTGTGGAAAGGTCTTTTTGCGACTTTTTCATGCAAACCATAAGGACCTTGCAACACCAAATACTCCCTTCTCTCTGGTGTTCGTCCATATCTCCATGCACCAGTGGGTTTGGATTCGGATACAGTCATCTTCTCTGTTTGGGCCATCGCCACATCATCTTCCCTGTCCCTGAGAGTCAATTCAAGTTACGAAGGAAAGAGGTCTTGGATCCTCGCTGATCACGGGCACCCCCTCTTCGCTTGCCAACGATAGTTTAGGAACCGGCACCAGCTTGACTTGGTGGTGAACACCGGAGCAACGCACATCTTAATGGGCATCCAATGCATCCTGGGAAGGATCACTACAGCAGAATATAGTGTCTATTCTGAAGGTGTTTCGGGCACTGTTTCTCTTCAGCCAACCTTTGTGGCAAACAGCGCAGTGTGCAGCGCCTCCCTATGGCTCCATCCAACAGCTTTTCTGAGTTCATGAACTTCTCAACACATGGTGAGCCCGGAAATCCTCGAGTATCCCTCTTTCTCAAACACCAGTGTTATCAAGGCAACAATTCCAGAAACTGATTCAGCTCACACTGGGAAATTTTATCATTGTAGCAACATGTAGCAACATAAGAGACCTGCATATGTCGTATCCGAAGTCCATCTGGTGTATGCCAAGTGTATGAGTGTATGCCTGTATGCCCACATCTCTGCAAACCCTGTGCTTAAAATCAAATTGAAATGTATTGAAATGTCAACTGTCCCACACTGCTTGATTGGGCTGGGACTCACCGTCACCGATCGTTTCCCCTACGTGGATTCCAGCAACCTCGGCCTTCCTAACCTCTTGGCCGGCAGCTGGAAGACACTTCGCATTTGGCACTCTAGAAATCCCACTGAGGGATGTCCAGCAAACCATGGTCACTGAACTCTTCCCCGCCAGACAGTTGACAATCCAAATTTGGATCATTGCCTCTCAGATAGCATAGCTTAGCTTGTGAAAGGAAAAAAGGAAAACAACATCAACATGTCCGAGCTAGGGTGTGGACCATGAGTCAAAACAGCAATAACAAGAGAAAGAATCGCTGTCGTCCCGAATGCTTTGACATGGAGTTCCTTAGAATCACACCCAAAATGGCTCGACATCCCATGTTTGTGTTGGAGGCGCTGATCTCTTGGATCACCGCTGGATCCACCAACCTCTCTGCTCCCGCCTGAGGCATGCATGGCAGGCGAGGGTGAAGTTACAGGTGGAGAAAGACTTCAGGTGTTTGCGTTTGTTGCTCCAAGAAAGGAGGAGGCTAGCTAACAAGGTAACTTGCTGCAATTTGACTTATTCTTTTCTGGGCTGTGGGTGGATCCAATGAAATAGTGCAATTGGCTGTGTATGAACCTTGCAAAAGGCGGAATGAAACCATTCCAAACCCAAACTGAAGACGGATGTGCAAGGGATTGCAAACGCTTGAGAAAAAGAGTGGCGGAAGGTATGCTCTCAACAGTTTCGAAACTCATATATATACCTAGAGCCTGAGTGACCTCTATTTTGGAGGGTCAACTATCCAAAATATGGTCTTTTCCTATCAAAACAAAGGTCACTAAGGCTCTAGGTGTACATATATATATATATATATATCATGCCCCTGGTGGAGCGTCGATCTTCCTATCTTTCTCCTGACATCATCTAACCCTCCCTGAGCAAGGCTAGGTACGTCTTCTGGCCTGTCCCTCGCTTCGTTGCCTGGAGAGCGCACTCGCCCCGGAGTGTCTCTGCGTTTTGGGTGAGTGCATTCGCCTGTGCCCTCTTGGCTGCTTAGGCGTTGTACCTGGGCCAAAGATCGGAGGCAGTTCCCAGAAAGCACCTGGCAAGGCACTGTGAGACGCCTGACATTTCAGTTGAGACGAGCCTCAGGTGAATCTGATCAAAACTTCCTGTGCCCTCCCACAGGAACACAGAACAGTCTGCAAAGTAGCCCGAATCGATACACAGAACAGTCTGCTCACCACACGTTTGTGCGGATGTCAACTTGAACCCTATTGGTCTCCCTGACCTCAGAGAGTTGTGGCGACTGGACTGGGGGGGAATGTGGTCATGGTTTGCTCAGGTCACTTGCTTGCAGACTGCAATGACAGTACCGCCCCTTCCTTGCCCAACAAGGAAATGCATGGTGCATATACAATTAAAGTATGTTTCAAAGGCATCAGTTGGTGCCCACATCCAAATGGGCTTCGCTCATCTTCCCCCACCCCCGCCCAACTGCAGCAAAACCGAGTTTTGATGTCTGCTTCGTGAGGGTACGAGGGAGACCAAACTCCCCCTCCTCACCAAACCCTGGCTGGATGTTTCATCCGGTCGACCTCTTTACCCAAGCATGGTGGGTCTCAAAGGTCTCCGTTTCTCTCCCAAAAGACATGCCCTGCACCGTTCGGTCTCCGCATGCTCCGTCCCATGCTCAGTCTCTCATCTGGAGCACGTGAGGACCGTCGATCTCATCACCGCTCGACAGAGCGGACACGTCGACACCTGCGAGCTTCGCTGCACCGGAGGAGGACAGAAGCAGGTCCGGGGGGAGTTCTGCAGGGTGGGAAGGTCTGCTCGGAACGCGAAGAGTCTGCCGGTGTTGTTTGGATGGATTTGGGATGTGAAACACCATCACCAGGGTCTACCCGAGATGAGCACCACCGGCTCCTCCAGTCCGGGCTAGGCCGTTTTTCACGGGCTCCTCCAGTCTGGAGAGTATTTCGGTCCCCATCGCGTGATCCAGTCAATGGTTCATCTGCTCAGTCACCTTGTCAGTGGCTGGTCACACCTTTCGAAAGACGTGCTTCATGGGCTTCATGCGGAAGCACAAGTTGTCCCAACAACCTCCCATGTAGTCAGACCACCTGGCAGTCAGACCACCTAGCATCCGGGTATCCACTCACAAAAAAACGAGGCCGCCTGGTCAAGGCAACGAGAACAAACTGCTCGATGGTTGCAATCCAAGATCACCTGAAACGGCTTGAAAGAGCTTGACTCCGTCAATTCCTCTGGCATTGGTCTAGAGAGGATGTGTGTGTGTGTGCTTTTCTTTTGTGTTTTTGGGAATCGCCTTGGAAAAGGTGTTGACATGTTGCACATGGAGTCGACCGTTTTTTCATGGCGACAGCCCCATCGCTGCGAGCTTGGGCTTCGCCAGAGGGTCGGAAACACCGAAACCATCCGAAACCGCTCGACCACCGGCGATCGACGGTTCTCGGCCGAAACCCGAGTCGCCACTGTAGAAAGCCGCATATAAACCGTCTTTCTACAGTTCCAGGCACCAATTTGACTCATGTTCACCAAAGTGGTCGAAGGCTTTGAGCTTCAGGCAGTATTGATCTCGCGTTCAAAGCATATCTTGCAAAGATGGCCTCAGGTTGCGCACCAAGCAAAGGAGGAAACCCCAAACACATGGAGGCCTGTTTTTGTCAACACCTGTGGTTCAGCGAGAGGCCCACGTGGGGTTGTTGTTGAACCCAATTTCATGGGGCTCGAACCCCGTGAGCTTCAATTGACTGTGGGTTAGAACGGATGTCCCCTTCTTGTTCCTAATCATCCCCAGTTTCCTGTTGACATTTCGAGAATCCATGAGAATCCAGTACAACACCCCCACAAAAAAAAGAACACTTCCGGTCGCTCGCTACTCGGGGCACTCACCGGTATGGCTCGGCTCGGGGCCCCGGGCGTTCTTGCTCGCTCTCCAGGCGCTTCTGAAGCTCTAAGACCTTCACCGCTGCGGACACTGAGGACCGCTACTCCCAGACCCTTCGGCAGAGCTGGGGGTCGGCCGAGTTCGGGGGGTCGGCCGAGTTAAGCGCAGCAGCACAGACTGACCAGAGGATGAAGTGGCAGTGGATGTGAAGGCAGCGAAGTCTACACAGATCATTCTTTGTCAGCTTTGGACTCCATTTTGGTGAGAAATGAATTCAATGGATGTGCCATTTCGGCGACCATCGGCGACCATCGCCTACCATCGCCTACCATCGGGTTTCACGGTTCTTACAGTTAATGTTGTTTGTGTCTTTGTTCATGTATTTCTCCGGTTTGGTCCATGCCCCTTCAGATTTCCGGGATGGCAACCAATGCTTCGGCAAGCAGCGGTTCAGTGTCCAGTGCTTCGGCAAGCAGTCGGATTGCTTGGGTCGCTGGAGGCTTTCGGATTGCACGTTGCAAGGCGGGCCGTGCGCTGCCAGGTTGCCCCACCCACGACGCGGGTATCGTGCGGAAGAATATGCCTGTTGATTTCCTTGGAAGTAACATCATGTAGACTCGTGATTCATAAACCCCAGCCATTTGAATTCGAACATCCTCTTCATATTGGGGGGGGGTGTACTAATCAAGAGTCTACATCTACATTGGTCTTGTTCGCGACCCCGAACTTGTTTGGACCCATGTCACCCACCTGCAATCGCAGCCTGACAATCTCTTTGTTCTCATGAGGTCCTGACCCACGGCGAACTTCTTTCGTTGCCCGAACCGGGTGGGCGAAACGGTCCAATTCCGAACCGGGTGGGTCCCGTTCAGCCGAGCCGGAAATGGGATCTGTCGGGTCGTTCGGAAGCCGGAGAAATGACATGGTGGAAACCAATGAGAAAAACCAGTCCTCAAAGACCATGGTCTTGGCTCGCAGTGTTTTACATTGGCTTTGATCGAACTGATTCTGAGTGATGGAATCATGACCACAAGCCAAACCCTCTGAAGTTCCTTTGTGTCCCATGACCCAATCCGAGGATTCTCGTCTCTTCAGCAGACACAATGGGCACCGGTGCTCAAGATCCGGACCCAAACCATGGGTCAAACATGGTCAAACTCATTGACATCACTTCCTCTCCAAATGCATCTGCCAAAAACCAACACCTTGATCTGACCTGTTCCCACCCCCCCCACTCCGAAAAAATTAAAAAAAAGAAACGGCCCCCACGTCACAGTCACGCACACACCCCACTCCACACTCCACTCCGACTCATGCGATTCATACATGCGATTCATAGACCTCCCCCCCCACTCCACTCCCTGGTCGGTCAAGTGACCGAATTCATAGGACCCGTCACCATCGAACGTTCCCAGTTCCCTGCCCCCACACCTCTGCTGGTCGGTCCGGCTCGGTGACGGTCCTTCGACCTCGCCGATCTCCGGCTCCGCGGCCGCCTCGGTGGCGTCGCCCTCGCCGGTGCCCAGGGCCAGGCGGCGCCTGGCGGGGAGGGGGGGTGACGGAGGGGGGTAGATCTCTGGAGGTGGGATGGGTGGAGTTGCTGGATGTGAAGGGGTGGGGTTGGGAGGTGCACATCTCCCTTTTGGAAATAGATGGATGTTTTGAGGTCTTTTTTGTTGAAGGATGTGATCCACCTTCGCTTCTCGTCACGAGGTAGCTGCTCTGGAACAGCCTGAGGCTGCAGCAAAATCAGCAAGAAAATGACACATCAAACGTGGCCACAAACGAATTGAACTTCAGTGCTCACACTGGTTGTTGAAGGCAGTATGTACCAGGCACCCTTGGAAGTGCACTTACTCAGAAATGAAAGAACTTTTACTCTAAGGAGTAATCCCAATCCCTCTGGCTGCACGAACGTTGCTGTTGCAGTGTCGTTTTTGAATGGATCTGCTCGCCCGCGACTGCTCCCCTGAGGCCAACACGATCTTGTACATGTCGTTGCGGCGCGTCCCATCAAACTGGGCCGAGTGACGCAGCGCTGACGACGCAGCAAACTGACGACGCTCTCTCTTCGGTGCAGCGAGCACCGCGCTGCACACCGAGACGGTCTTCTGAGATCGTCACCCCACCGAGAATGTACATGCAGCTGCCATACCTTACTTCAAACTTAAAAGCACCGGCACATGGCCGTTTCAACTCAAGGGCTGTGCATGCAAGGGCTGCCCTGCAAGGGCTAGGGCTGCTCAGCAAATGCCAAATGCTCAGGCCACCACATGCAAGCTCGATGAAATGTTCGGGCAGATGGCGGATCCCCCGTCTCAGCAAGCTCAACAAATCTACGGTGTGGCAGTTAAAAAGCAAGCTCAACAAATCTACGGTGTGGCATTAAAAAACTAACTCTGAAGTTTCACGCCACGCCCAAGCAGAATGCAAACGTGATTGAAACTGCTTGAGTTGGGGGTCAGAAACGGATGCGGAAGCCGTGTGTGGGAAGGTGAGGTCGATTGAAACGTCGAAAACACTCGATGAGTCATTGCATGCTGCAATGTTCACGTTCCAATCAACTCTTCATGGAAAGATTCCCATGCCCACGTCAAGGTTCTAAGAACTACCTGTTCGGAAAGATTTCTATGTTAAAACTGCCACACGATGGGCATCGAAACAGCTTCTTCCATGGTGCACTGTCTTTCATGAACCAGAAACACCTTCAGAACTTGTCACATTCATGGCGCAGCCCCTTAGCCGGCCACCGTTTTAACTCGAGACCATGACCTCAGCAAAGCTACTCGTAGCTTGGCATGACATGGTATGAGGATGGTTCGTTGCCGATGGTTCGTTGGCACGGCGCTGTTGGTAACATGCCAAAACGCCGCATCTGGTAGCGGTATCGAATATGACAGGCTGCAAGGTGTCCTTTACTATCCTTTCCAAAATAAATCGCCCTGACATCAGTCTGAAACCCCTCGAGCCTTTTGTGTTGTTGGGAAGCCAACCCAATCCCACCCCAGAAAATCTTCAAATCCATCTCTTTGGGTGGGTGCCACAGCTGCTTCCCTCCCTTCTAACATCTTCTAACCATCTCCACACGTCAACAGGCCTGTTGTCAAAGCTGAACTCACAGAGATCAGCAAAACGGGCCTCACCGAGGCTGGCGACACGGTGTTCGAGCCCCACCGATGGTGGAGCTCGAACCCGTTGAATTCAACCCAAACGGTCGGTCGGCAGAGAGTTAGCTTTGGCCGAATCGGTGGATTCTGCCCCGTCTCAGAGTTACAAAGAGTCTCTGAACACCACTGAATTGTGGCTCGTTTCACTGTGCTGCGTGGACAATGACTCAGTCTTGATGTTATGTCCATCCAGCTGGTTCTATCTTGTTCACCCAAGAGTTGGGCCACAGCGTCACACCTGTACGCCCTCGTTGCCCGCCTGTCTCTTGTCAACCCCGCCGAAGACAAACATCGCACAGCCATGCACCACCGCACTATGCCGATATCTGGACCTGAGCGGCATCGGAGCGGAAAACCGGAGCTTTCGTCAGCGCGCCAGCGTCACGCCGAGTCTGTTTGGTCTGGACCGATCCTGTTTGGCTTCCCGAACTCCACAGGTCGGTCCATGCGACCATCCCCGTCAGGTCCGGCACGTTCCGAATAAAGACTCCCGGAGTCGTCAAGTTCTAAGCTCTTGGAAAGGAACCATGAGCTTTCTCAGCTTGGATCCAACTGGCCGTAGATCAGTTCCTGTACTCAACAACTGTGTAACCCTTGGTCACATGCTCATCTCACATCGCTATCACCTGGCTTGGTCACTTGGGCTCCCACGGCGGTACATCTCCCCGCCCAGGTACGTTGTACCTCGGTCGAAGGTTTCCGGACGTGAGATAGACCAGTGTCCAAGGGAGACGGCTCATCAGTGTTTGGCTACATGAACCTGGCAAAGGTTCATTTGGTTCTCTTGAGAAATGCACATGTTTCAGCCAAACATACATCATGGACCGGCAACTTGCCAAGTGTGCATCTTGCTGCTCAACCAAACGCAACCCTCTCGCGCGCACCACTGGCTGGTAGTGATCGAGAATTCGTAGAGGTCATCCAAGGTATCATGCCCATCCCATCCTCCGAAGACAAACCTGCCAGGCATCATGGCTTTCGTTCAAACGGTGGTGCCTCCAGGCACCAAGGGTGAAGGCTTGGTAGTTCTCCATTCACTTCAACACGTAGTCCGGGTCTCAAAAGCCTACACCTCGGACTCTTTTCGGTTTGGAATGTCTCAATGTCTCACCTCGCAGCCGATGACCGCCCGGATCCGATCCGCCGTCAGAACAGATGGAGCTGCGTGTTTTGGACCCAACCAAGTCGGTCGCGCAAACGCAGATGCTTTTGGCACCCAGAGGCTTTCCATGTCTTGATCGGCTTGTTTTGACATGGAAAATCCATGGAAAAAGTGTCATGAAACTTGGCAAAGAATGCGAGGTGGGCCCTGCAACCCTTTGGGAAAGACCGGTTTTTGGATGACAGTCTTGCAATGTGCCTTCGCATCCGTCCGAAATCAAGACCACGTGGTCAAGATTCCTTGTTCCAATCGATTAGTGTATACGAGTACCTTCAGATTTTGGAGATCTTTGGGAGGCACAGGACATTTCAGCTCCAAGACACCCCTAAAACCGCAGAAAACCGGCCCGGCGCGCGGCGCGGATGAGCAATGGCCAGGCCAGGCGGACATACTGGACTGGTACACGACCGCGGAGTGCCCAAAACGGCCCACCGGGACGTTGTCCGTCTCAGGCACCTCGGGATCGGTGGTCAGGGGGTCGATGCGAAGGTCGCCGTGGAATGGGAGGAGGAGGAGGACCGGAGGAAACCCCAGAAACGAAGGGAGAGGAGCCTCCTCTTTTTCGCCCCTGGCGTTCAGAATTGAAGTCATCTGCAGTCATCTGGAGTCATCTGGAGTCTGGAGCTTGAAATTGAAACACTGCCCCTGGCACCTGCATCCACTCTCTGTCCTCGGTGTTGAACTGATGCAGGTCCTGGAGATGCAGCCCCTGGGCCCTAGTGGGATCTAGTCGGCCCTAGTCCCTTGAAACCCCTACTGCAGTGTGCTCAGGAAGATCACAAAACCTTCCAAAACACATCGCTTTCAAGGCTTAGAGATGCTGAGAGATGCTGAGATCTCCGTTTCGAACCCGCCATCGGCCTGTCGGCCCATCGGCCTGTCCTGGAATCGGGTTCGGCCATCGAAGCCTCCGAAGATATAGAGACTGGCCTGCATCGATTCTGCGAGCAAATGGATACACAATACACGATGCCCCTCTTTGTGGGTTCCAGTTCATGTCCAGTTCCAGTTCCGATCCCAGTACGCTTCAAGAGGTCAATGACGTACATACCTCTTTTTGTTCCGCGATACACATGTGATCTTTTCCAGGGGCTAGTTCTAGTTCCAAAACCCTCCAACGGGCTGCTGAATATGTGTTGCAGGCTACCCCAAGCGTTTGTTTTGCAGCATGAAATGCCATGGCTGGGTTGTTCAGACCAGGTGAACATCACGAGGCCCTTCGCTTCATCTGCGTTACCAGTGGAGCCATGTCATGGTGCTACAAGGTACTATGACCCGCAGCCCGCCCTCGTTAAAACGCCTCCCCTCCCGGCCTCATAGACCACGCACGAGTGATCTGTTCGTACTGATGGCTTGGTGGGTGAATCGATGCCTCAGCCGTGCCGTGCCGATGGCGACTCGCTCGGACCTGTGGCGGTGGATGAGGTTCGCTCGGACCTGTGGCGGTTCTGAGGTTCGCTCGCGTCCAATGGGCTTCTGGAATATTGAATTCAAAGAGGTCGTTGAAGTAGTCCCCATCCTGAGCAATGCTGAAGTAGGCTGTTTTCGGCTGTGGCGACCTGGATTTCGGATGGAGTGTCTCTGAGTCTCGGAGGGTTTGCCTGGCCTTCTTGGTGTAGCCACCGAAGAAAAAGATGCTATTTCTGCAGACCACCGCCTGCAGACGGGGCGGAAGTATACTCTGCAACGAGAGGTTGGGCGTCCGGGGCGCCACCCAATGAAAAGAGCATGTTCATGGAGCCAGTCGCGCATCAAACACGGAGCCAGTCATGGACCTTGACTTCAGATGCGGAGGCTCTTGGATCGAACAGGAACCAACTGCCTTTTACATCGAAGAAAGGACGTCGGTCCTCGCAGATCTCGGATCAACTCCTCTGCTCCCCCAGCCCAACCCGATGGCGGCCCTCCTTCGAGCCGGACCGTGCCGATGGCGGCCCGCCCGTGACCGGGTCGATGCACGCCCAGGTCCTGGCGCGCGGCACGCGGCACGCGGCTGGTGTGGGGTGGGGTCGGGTGTGGCGAACCTGGAAGAATGCAAGACACCCCTGGAAGAGAAGGGCGACAGAAAGCTTGGAAATGGCGACATCCTTTAAAAGGAGGTCATTAATGGTGGTCGACCCACCATTCTGAATGACCTCGTCCTTCAAAAGGAGGTCATTAATGGTGGTCAACTACCCAGCAGTTTTAGAAGACATGTGGAACAAGGGTTTTCAAGGGGTGGGGGGGTTCGCAAGGTCGACTTGATCCTGGCAGCCGGGGGATTCATCGGACTCTGATCATTCGGATGACTGTCTTTCCATTACACTCCTTGAAATGATCATGGAAGTAGATGGCATGGTCTACTGAAGAGGATGGTTCCCCTTTTCCGAATACCAAACAGGCGGACAACCTCCACGAAGACCATGATGATCGTTTCAGGGAGTGGAAGAGGTATTGTCTTGCCTACAGTAGCACTCCTTTCAGGTTCTGCTCTAGCTTACTTCGAGGATTGAACTTCCTTGAAACCTGGCCCGTTTGGTGTGAACTGTGAACTAGAGTGAGGGACTTTGGTGTGTTCAGGTCAAAAAAGGCACTGGGTATCTTGGCAAATCCAGAAAGCTCAATCCTTCTTTCGCTTGGACTCCAAGCATCTCCTAGCTTCAACCGATCACCTGTCAGACCACCTCGTCCAATTTCCCTATGAAAACCACTGCGACCACCAGACTGAGACGCTGCAGTCTTTCTGGTGCTTGGAGGACAAATTATCTTCGGGGCAAGGCGCTTGCTGCCCAAAAAGGACTTCCCGCCTCGCTGAAGTAGAACTGGTGAAAGCCACACCCGATCTCTTTCTGGGGGGATGCCACTCTTCGTCCCTCCGTCCGGCCTCCGACACGTGGTACCCCAAAAAGGGTTACCCCAAAAAGGGTTCCCGGCGGCACTGGCCCCCAGACCCACGAACGGACCGGCTTTCGGTCCGTCGGTCCGGCGAAGTCCAAAGACCATAGGACGGACAGAAGTAAGGGAAATGCCTAGACTCGGGCCACCCAGAGACCCATAGTCTTTGACTCCCAGGGTAAGAATGGTCTTCGGGTGGCCCGAGTCTAGGCATGTCCCTCACTTCTGTCCGTCCAATTATGGTCTTTGGACTTTTAGGATATATATATATATAGTATAATATAATAAGTGTTGTTCAAAGAACTATCGACACTCACAGAATTTGCGCTTGGAATCAGGTCTACAAATGTCCACTTTGTGGGGAGGGAAATGCAATGATTTGTTGCTTATTTAATGAGGACAATTCAGGCCCACCTTGGAGAGCTTGGTGAGCTCGGCGAAGCACAGGCATACAAACCAAGGGCTGAACATCCTATTCTCAGTGATGGACACACATGATGTTGTGTCGATCTTGAGTTCAAGTGGGTGTCTTCACTATATACTATATTTAAAAAGCAGAAGTACTAGACGATCATCCCAAGATTGGAGGATCGCCGTGAAAAAGATTTTTACAAATGCAGTACTGGGAGATTGGACTGGACTCTACGCATGCGATCCGACGGCACGTCCGTCTTCGATTCTGCCGACCACCCGCCCGTGGCGCACTTGTTGCGAACATCGTAACGGTAGATGTCGTTCTGCCGAGCATTCTCATCAGTTCCTGCACCGGGTGCTGCGGCGGATGAAACACCATTCTGGGGCAATGTCTGACTTGCACGACTCTTAGAGGGTCATCAAACTCTCTGAAGTAGAATACTTCAGAGTCGACCTTTGCCTAGAAGGAACTGAGCCAAACGGCCAAGTTAATTACACTCCCTGAAACAGAAGTGGAACACCCAAGGAAGACCATTTCCCTCTACAAGGGGGGTCTGCTCAGCTTCCATGATTGTCTCAGGGAGGGTACTGTAAACGGTCCTTGAGGTTGCAACTCACCATCACCATCGCCTCTTTTGTTCGACAAGTGACTTCGAAAGCCCACTTGAGCTTGAGCTTAGCAGCTTGGAGCATCCATGCGGATGCCGAAAATGGCTGAGGCAGTCTTCTCCATTTAGGAGGTGCCCCAACGAATCTTGTGCCCTTGCAAGTAAGTCTCACTATTCATCTCCTGAGGCGCAAAATGTGGGTCTTTCGAGGACAGGCGCGGTTTTCCGTGCTCCTGGAGCTGGTCTTCCGGTGTCCAACGTGTCGGAAAAAGAAACGCACGACCTTGCACTGATCCGGCAAGAACAAAAATAGACAGACTATCCCTTCAGCTTTACATGGGTGGGTTTCAATGAGCTACCATCAGAAAATAGAGCTTCCAACAGCAGCGAACTCCGGATGGATCCCTTATATCCAGGCAGTTGCTATGTTGCCAGGCAGTTTCGAATGAAACTGGAGAAGTTGGTCTTTTGGTGCTGAATGTCCAAATCACCCAAAATGGACATTCAAGCCCTGGCTAGCTCAGGAGATTGCAGCTGGTTGCATGTGCTTCAATACAGCCTGTGACTTGTGACAATCCCCACCCTTGCTTCCATCACGAACCCTGACTTTCTCACCATGTGCACGCGTCAAAAATGCTTGGATCGCGTGGACGTCAATCGACGTCAACCGCTGTTCCGACCCTTCACCCGCCGTCGTGGCCCGAACGTGGCCCGAACGAGGCCGGCCAGGGCACACGAAGTCGAGAGGTGCATCGTCTCGCAGCAAAGCCCGTCTCACCTCGGAGGCGGAGGATCGGACGGTGAGAGAAGTGATGGATCGACGAGCCTCAGGACTCCAGTCATGGCGAAACTGGAGATGAAAAGCACGCGAAAGTGGAGAAAACAGATCTCATTGGGGCCTGGCTGAGGTTTCGTTTAGGTGTCACGCGCAGGCGCATCAGTACGAGGCCAAAACGTAGGCTATCCACCGCCGCAGACATGACACCTGCAATGCTATCCTGCGAGAGAGAAGGTGGCTGCTTCCAAGTCCAGAACGCCGGCCACCAACAAATCTTCTTTCCAGCAGGGTTTAGGCAGTGTGCCAACAAACATGCGATCACCGAAAGTGATCAGTTTGTACAGAGGCTCCTGTCATGTTCAAACCAAAAATGAGGGTGGTAACTCATCTTGGCACATACCATTCCCTGGACAAAGTGCAGAACAGGCCCGAAAACCGGAAAACCCCGAAACGCAGCTTGCAAGTTCTTCTCTTGTGTCCCAGTCAAAATGGGGCGCCACGAATTGTGTCTCAGAAAAAGCAGGACACTCCGCGGCGACACCACGCGGCCTCCGGAGCGTCGCCCAAACCTGGGAAAAAGAGGACGCATGGGTGAGGAAAGAGGAATGATTTCAGCTTGAAGAAGACAGTTGTAAACTTTTGCAAGTCATGTTGGCCCCTGAATTTTTGCAGGCTCGAGATCAGATTGAATTGATAGATTGATTGATTGATTGATTGGAGAATTGGCCAACAAAGGGCAGCCCTGTCTCCTCTCCCTACGTCGGATCGGTTCTTTGCGACCATCAAAAACGTATATGTTTATGTCATCAGCGTCCGTCAAGTGCTCAGAAGATGTTCTCAAATCATCCCCAGACACGACCCGTCTGGGACTGCCATAGGACTGCTGAGAAACGGCCGATCGGGGTGGTGAGTTTGGGGGGTCAATTGATTGGCAGTACGTGTAGGGGATAGAAGCTGCGTCTCAACTTAAAACCGCTAGCGAGAAGCAGCTCATGTGCCATCTCCTCTTTCTTTTTTTCATTGAGAGTTGCTGGAAGCGTCACATTGGACCCTTGTTAGGCGGATGGCCTGTGGACATTATCAGCCCTTCGCTTTGAAGGGAAGCAACGGGCACCTTCCTTCAGCAAACCGACAGCAAGAGGTGCTTTTGCCAGCAAAAAGCGTAACTGAAGTTGATCAATAACACCTGCAGTCGTGGTTGCTGAAGAAGGCTCAGCAAAACATGCTTGCCGTTGCGGAATCACCATTCGGCGTCCGGACAGGCTCATCATTTTGGGAGCCCAAAAAAGTGCCGAAAGGAAGCTGATCTGTTTGCCCCTGCCCTTTTTGCACAGCTCACTTAGGAACCGCCAGGTTTGACTTTGTCCGAGAAGGTCCTGCAAGGGAGGGCCGGGCTGTCATTTTCGGACAGGGCCCGTACAACTTTGGACAACTTCGGACAACGGCCATACGACAGGACATACAACAGGATAATTACAGCAACAGGAAAAATAGGCAAAGGAGAAAAGAGAACACATTGCTGACCCAAACGTGTGCTTACACAAATAGTGTTCGATGTTGAAATCTTTTTTATCCTAGCCTATGTCTACAGTAAACGAGTCTAAACCATCAATCTGCGTTAAAGTGACAGCAAATCCACCCTCAGTCCTTTGCTTCCGGAGGTATCTCTGTTCGCCGCGCCCTCTTTGGTCCCCGACTTGGTGCCGCTACGGCTGCCGTCGACGGGTGTGCCCCCACCAGCGCTGCCTTCCAGCTTGGTGCCAGTGCGAGATTTGGTGCCAGGATTGGATTTCGTGCCAGTGTTGGACTTGGATCCAGATTTCGACACGGATTTCACATCCTCCGGTGTCTCCTGTCAGGGCAAAACCACAAAAAGCTTCGATGTTGCAATGAACCCCATGATTTCGCGATGAAGGCCGCAGTGAAAAGCACCTACGGTATCGGTATTCAAGAGGTCTTTCTCATCAAGGTCCCTCCTCAGAGAACCAAAGGTTAAGAACACCTCTAACAGCTCACAGCACGAAGGTATGAGTCATTTGGCTGTCCTCAGCACTGCCGTCACTACCATCTGCAAGAACCATGTTCTCAAGTCACCCAGAAAAGAAAGGAGCAAGCGCTGATGGCACTAGACCAGCAGATCATCCAGCCACCTAGTCACCGTAGTCATCCAGCCAACCAACAACCCAACCACCGAAACCAGATCATCCAGCCACCTAGTCACCACTCAACCACTCAACCACCCAACCCTGTCCTGTGCTTCTTCCTTTTTCAGCTGCTCCTGCAGGATTTGATCGTCGCTTTTCAAAGGTCGCGGAGGGCCCAGAATGTCCACAAGCACTTGGACCCAGTCCATGAGCTCCTGATGGTCGAGTTTCAAGAGAATGGACACCCGTCGCCCACTGAGGGAGGTTGCGAAAAAGAAAAAAAGAACACTCACACACACACACACACTGACAGACACACAACACACGCGCGCGGAGTGAGCTTTGGCTGCTCATTTGAGTTTGTCACCCTCGATAGAAAGCAGGCACTGATTGATAAATACGAAACATGAAAAGAATCTGTAGTGTGCACGGTTGCTCTTTCTTGTGCCAATCATGACTCCTTCCACAGGTGTCTAGTTGCAAACCATTTTAAATGAGCTTGGAAAGTTATATTGTAATCTGAAGCCCTTGAGGGAGGAATAATTGACCTGGATCAGTTCCAAAGTGCCACACGTAAAGCCGAAAAAGAAAACTGTATATAAAGCTTAGGAGGACTCAGATAGATTGTGTCCTTGCGGAGTGGGGGATGCCAGTTTCTTGGAGCCAAAGAAGCCCAAACATGTGCCCTACTGGTACCAGCCTTGGGAAAATCACGCAAAAGTGAGGCCAAAGAGAAACCATCAAGAGCAAAAACTTGCCAACAGAGGTTGAAGAACCCTAGTTGGGCTATCCCAGTTGGGTACCCTGGTAGGGTCCAAGATCACTTAACCTCTGGTGTGACTTCTAGACATCACCAAGACTCTTTCTCTCGTTCTTTGCCGTCTTCGGTCCCTTCGCAGGCAGCCATATGCCCCATGCACTGCAAGGCCTGGCTCCGGGGTCCCCCAGCACCCGGGGAGCGAGGCCCTTTGTGACGTTCGTAGCTTCTTGTTCCTAGCAACTCAGTAGTAAGGCCAGGGTCGCCCCGTTCGAGTCGCGTCCGATCGCTCCGTTCGTAGCGATGCCAGGAGCCCCGTTCGTAGCTTCGTAGCTTCCGTCTGTACCCTATCCCCTGGTGGCGAAGCTGGGAATTGGAAGCTTCTTGGCTTCGAAAAAGTGTTGAAAAGGTCTGAACCTGTCATGAGGTCGCCACCATGTAGTGCCACACCTACAGTACGCCTCGTTCTCCGTTGAGCCCCCACCTCCCTCGCCGAGCCGCCTTGACGAGGCTCACATACCTCCCGAGGAGCTTCTCACGTGCCTTGGGACAGACCGAAGCCAAATGGCTCACAGCATTGCTGGCGGCCACCATTGTGCCATGCAGGCAGCCCTGACAGTCAGCGAGCTGAGTTCGGAAAGGAGTTCGTCAGGAGCTTCCTCCACGGACAGCTAGAGATTCCAGTTCTTACAGCATCTTACAGCTTCTAGTCGTTCCGGGAGTGAGCCCCCCTCCTGCCTCTGCCAACATGGCATCCAAGATCACGTCTACATATGGTTCAATCACAAAGGCGTGCCTCGGGACCACACAGCAAGCTGAGCCAGATGGTGTGCGCGCGTGCTTTTTTGGTCCACCGTGCCAGCATGACCACCGTACCGTACCAACAATGCAAGAAATGGCCCAGAATGACCTTCACAGCTCACCGGTTCGCCCCGTCGACTCGGCTTCAGCCTCCCTTTGTCGTCTCGTCGACTCCTCCTCCTCTCTTTCCGGGGTTCACCGCGGTGAACCACAGCGCCTCTGGCAAATCCGCTCGAAGATTCGCATGCCCCACATGGC